CAAAAGTTGAGTTGGTTGGTTGCATCAAGGAGCACAGAATATTTTGTTTTTGACAGACTCCGGTTACTGCCAACGTTTTATTTTTGGCAAATATTTAATTGAGCCATGCAGATTAAAATGATGGTAAAGAAAATTTCAGCTTAGCTTTTGTAAATCAAAAATAAATAACATTTAAAAAGTTATGAAATGGCATGTCACAGATGACGAGTTCAAGAATTGTTAAAAAGTTGAAAACCAAAAATTCTTTCTGTTTTCACAGTTTCTGGATGATAAATGGCGTAATTCTGGTCACTTTAAAAAGATAATGTGTCTTTAAAACCTGCCAGCAGGTTTTGGGGATCACAGGGTTAAAATTCTTTAGCTTCCAAGTAACAACTCTGTCTATTATAGTACCCTGAGAGCACACAGGCATGCTGAAAAAAGCACATTCGTGATATATTTACCTCTCCAATGTCTCCCTGCACCACACGAATAGGATCTACCAAAATGTCTCTGGCCAACCTCTCTATCTTCTTTCGAAACGTAGCACTGAACAAAAGGGCTGTGAAGGAAATCACAGAATATGAAAACGATATGCATTCGTGGCAATTATATTTGAAAAACATCAAGCACAAGAAAAATAACTTACTCTGTCTGTCTGGGCGAACATGGCTGGCGATAGATCTAACCTGATATTCTGAAAAGGTACAGAGAAAAAAACGTAACAAAACGTAAATATGCAGCAATGCAGAAAGCAGGTTTGCAAAATTTTTGCTGCAAGACAGATAACGCACCAAAACCCATATCAAACATGCGATCGGCCTCATCAAACACCAGGTATGTGACTCTCTGCAGGGACGTGGCCTTCTTTTTAACATGGTCAATCAGACGGCCCTGTGCAAACACACATTAATAGACAACCTCGCTTTTTAATATTTTTTTTCAATAGTGCTGTAAATATTTGATCCTTAGGAAGCAGGAAAATGAGAAAAGTTCTTTACCGGTGTGCACACCACAATCTCTGCTCCCTCCTGCAGAGCCTTGGCCTGCTCCCACATGCTGCCTCCTCCATAAACAGCTACAGAACGCAATGAGTAGGCTTTCCCAAAGCGCTTACATTCTGCATGGATCTAGCAAATATTAAAAGTCACACACATTAGTAAAGCAACACTCTTAACAATGTATTTTCAGTTAATACACCAGAAAATACCCTCTCTATACCTTGACAAAAATAGACTCAGCTCTCATCCCAGTTCTTACCTGCTGACAAAGCTCTCTGGTGGGGCACACAATGACTGCGATGGGTCCCTCTCCAGGCTCCAGCTCCTTCTGGTCCATGATATGAACCAGCATTGGCCAGATAAAGGCTGCAGTTTTACCACTGCCAGTTTTTGCAATCCCAATCATGTCACGTCCAGAAAGAGCGATGGGGACACCCTAAGAAACCAGACTCCCAATGAAGTAATTCCTCATTTCATTTTTAATCGTGTGGAAATCTTGAGATAAACTTGCACTGTACCTGACACTGAATCGGTGTGGGCTGAGTGTACTCAGACTTTCGAATTTGGTGCATTAGCTGCTCATCAAAACCAAAGTGTGCAAAGCTGGTACAAGGTTTTGGAGGGGCAGCACCAGACACCTGAGAAAGAAAGGACGGAGGGGGGGGGACACACACGACAGCATTTAGACAATTGATGATAAAGTGCACAACAGTTTGCACATTAAGAGGGTTCAACATTTTAAAGATTTTTAATACACAGCCAATGTTGCCGAAAATATTGGTGATAAAGTCTAAACTAAACAACCAGATCAAGATTAATGAAAACTACACGTGTATCACTTCATCACAATATAAATTTATAAAGCAATGTGCACGAAAAGAATACCAGACTTACTCGCAAGTTCAGTTTCTGTCTTAACTCCAACACTTGGGTTCCAGTCAGACTGCTGAGCTCCTCGTGCTCATTGTAAAAGTTTTTCTCAAAAGGTGGGTAATCAATCTATTAAAAAAAAAAACAACAAAGTGATGTTAAAAATCACAGCAAAATAGTTCACATTACACATAATAAATACAGATAAATGCCAACTGCACCTCTGAGTGGTCAATAGGAGGAAGCGGCAAGATGATTTTCTTGGTGGTCGAGGCGATTGGGTTCCCATCACTGTCATAATCAATGTTTTCCTCCTCTTCTTCTTGGGTCAACCCGGCTGTGGGATTCTCTGCCATGTAGCGGAAGTAGGCTTCCTGCAGAGAGTACAGCATTTCATGTGAAAAACTCAGCCTTTTTGCTGCTTAATACAGTCTCCAGGCACCAGAAACTGACAAACACCTGATAAGACATTCAGCTTTAAAACAGAAGCATAAATCACAGGATAATTATGACTCTCAATCTGAAGTCAATGGCACATTTCAAATTTTCTAACTAAACAAAGATGATCTTCACAAGATAAATAACTCCAAAATAAAGATCCTAAATGCAACCTGCATGGTGAGATAGAGGGGAAGGCAGGGAGCTTTATAAGATTAGAGAGGGTAGAGGGAAGACCTCTCTGATCGGCTGTGTAGTGGATTAAGAACTTTGGAGGGCTCACTCACTTGTTCATCCTCTTCTTCAATGTCATCTCGAATACCCCTGAAATGACAAGCGGAGAAAAAAAAAACTTCCCTGCGGCTCGTTCATACACCAAAGACAGCCCACATCCCACTCTGACTAAGTTCACTGTGCTTACCTGACAATATGTATTGAGCCAGCAAAGGCATTGCTGCAACTTTTGTACCAATCACACTAAAGCTAAATTGTTTTTTCCAAGTTAAATCAAGTGTGAAAATACAATTAAATCAATTCAAATTAACTCTTTAATAACCCAGAATTGTTAATACAGTTGTAATTCAACTGTGGGCAATCCCTTGTTTCCTGGTAAAATAACTTTTCTAAAGCATAATTTAAACACCTAGAGGAGACTAAGAAAAGAGCAAATGCAGAGTCTTACTTGGCTGACTTTTTCTCCTTTTCCTTTTCCTCTAGTTTCCGCATGTCTTTAGCTGCTTGGTTCTGAAATGAACAAAAAAAGGTACGGTTAGAAAACAGAACATTTGAAAATATATTCTAGTTTTGTCTCTGCCTAACTGTAGCAATCTTCTCACCTCAACCTCTGCCATGAAGGCATCCAATGGATCATCTTCACTGTCTGAGCCACCACCAGACTTCATCTGCTGCCGCGTGGGCGAGTTCTCAGCGGGGATGTATGGCAGATCCACATTGCTGCTGGACTCCTCCTCATCATCTTCAAAATACCTTGTTGAAAATGACAAGGGTGTGATTTTACATTCATTCAGTACCAAGGTGGAACTGAACATTTGCATAATTACATGCGCAGTACGTGCATAGGGGAGATGTAATACTCACGCATTTTCCTCATCGAAATTAGCTCTTTTTGTTCCTATTTTGTAGAATGATGGGAGCTGCTGGTTCTTCCCATATCCCCCGCCTGACCCTGTGGCTCCAAATGATGTGTGAGATTTTTGAGGGAGGTGAGGCTCCTCTTTTTTCCCTGCAAGGGAAAATCCTCCAAAACCAAAACCTCGCTTCACACCTGGACCACCTTTGCTCCAGTTCATGGTTATGCTGGGAAAACAAGAGGAGAGCAAAACCTTCACAGTCTTAATATCCCTGTGCTATTAAACCAAAACTTGTTTTAAAAAAATTGTATTTATTTGTCTGTCTTATTTCTTTGTTGAAGGTACTTCCAATAAAACTAGACTCCACACTTGTGTAAATCATGGAAAACTCTCTTCAGCTTTCCATTCAATCAGCAAGAAACACCTAAAACAAGTGTATTTTGGTGGATGTTCATCAAATCAAAATGATAATTTGAAACAAGGATATACTCTTAGGAGCACATCTGACCAAGGGTTTAAACAAGAATTGCCACAATTGATCAATAAGATGTCAACTATAAAATTCATCACCAACTTTTCTGCTTTTGCTTATTATGGGAGGAGGAATTTCTTGTCACCATGATAAAATTTGGCCGATTTTCTTAATGGCCTGTCCTTGTCTCTTCATATCATTTTCCAAGTAATTGTTTCCCTGATCCTCTTTTAGTTATTACCTTACTGTTTCACTTCATACACGTATTGGGTGGAAATATGTAATACTTTAGTAAATGCATTAGTTTGGGTGTTATTGCACTGGAACAGCTAAATACATACTAGCCACTGGTCTCGGCTTGAGGAATGGAAGTAGGAACCCACTTTATCTCCTCATAGATTTTGTTTTACACCTCCACATTCTTAAGACATACAACACGCAATAAAATGGATTTTAGCTACATGGGATATTTGAAATCAACAATGGGTGCAAAGCCATGTTGCTGTGCAGCTGTGCACGTTAAACACAAGACGAATGTTCCAATGAAAACTCGCAATTTCTAAAACATCTTTATTAATGCCAGTGGAAGTACGCATATTTTCAAAAAAATAAAAAAAGCAATAATACATTTATTAGATAGATTTCAATTGCAGTTCCGATAGTGACAACATTGCAAGGCTAAAAAAAACTGACGTAACTGCGTTAACATAAAGCTAGTTAGCAATTAGCTTACTAACGACGGTACGCAGTGTTACAGTATTATGATTCAATTTGCTAGGTCAAAGTCACTATTTTGTATTTTACCCATTTGACAACAGCATTATTCCGGTAACGATTTATCTGTACAACATGTTAGCGTTAGCTCAAGGCCGCGGTGAGGCCGAGAAGGAGGTGTGCGAGGTTGGGGTCGACAGTTTGCCGTGACTGTGGTGAATTTAAGGGTATTTCACAACCACCTGCATTATATAGTAACAATTCTAGTTGCTGAATGTGTCAATAATTAGCAAAAATTAAGCACAGGCTGTATTTATTTACCTGCTTGTGATGCCAGTAAAAGCGCCAGTGTTTTTAGTAGACCCAGCGGGGTTTGCGTCATCAGTGTGCGCAAGGTTTCTCTGTGGGCGTGTCGTGATTCGTGCGCGACACGGCGCTCAGCACCAAGAAAGCGCAGCAGAGAGCTGTCAAAAACATCCTGCTGGAGAGGATGGGTCGCTAAATAAGTTGCCCTAAAATACAGTATCAATCCCACCAGGCCTTGAGCTTCTGAACAGAACAAAGGTAAGTTATTAAGATGTTAAAATTATGCAGTTTCTTGTCGTTAAAATAAGTCAGGATAGCCGCTTTAGCTAACGGTAATTTACTAGCCTGCGCCCTCCATCATGGCAACATTAGCGAGCTTTTAGCAGCAACTGGGATCTTCTTCTAACAAGCTCGCTATTAGTGAGTTATTTGTATTTTGTAGGTCTGTTCGAGCTACTTTATTGGAGGGGTGCACCTCTGTTTGCATAATAACCATTATTATTCCAGCGTGTGGATGTGCATGTTGGCTGCTCTCAGTTTTAAAATCAGCATTAACAAAGATCAGAATTCATACCAGCACTAACCACCGAGACTTTAGCTAGCTGTAGGTAGAGTTTACTTTGCAAGGTTTAATAATAACGTTAGACAATGATAATAACTTACATGCATGACACGGACGAGGGAACACAAGTTAATACGTTTGGCGGAGTACAAAACAAAAGTGTTTACACGCAGTCTCACCTACGATTCAAAATATTGTTTAATTTCAGCAAATGTGTGCTATGTTTTAGTAAATGATATGTATTTTGATACAGTGTGATAGAACTCTACAGTTTACCAGATGATAATGAGCACGACAGACCCCAACTAGGGCTGCACAGTTTTGGGGAAAGCTATCATTGCAATATTTTGATTATCTACAATATATATTTCTATATGAAAAAGAAGACTTGAATATCCCTGTTTGGGAAGACTTTGTATTCCTAAAATCATTTAGTTTGTCAGTGGGTGCATCACCATAGAAAATAATACATTTGGAACCTTTCTCATAAGGTGTAACTCTGGCAAAGACCTCCTAAAGTATATATATACATATATGTTTTTGTTTACTTTGGATGGCATTTGGTGTTCTGGCTTTGCACTGGTTATACAGAGCTTTTTGGTGCAGTCGAACAAATCAGTCATGTTGCCTTGTGTAGTAAAAACAATTGCAAAAAACACTGCATAGGCACACAGTACCTGCTACTGATCAATGTCATCCTTTCTGTCGATGAAATATTTCCATACAACTGATATTGCATTTCTTTTGCAATCAAATAATTTATGTTTTTCTCCTGTTCCTCTCATTTTGCTGTGCACATGTGAAGCTTGCGTGTCAACAAACTGTAAATACAGTAAATAAAAAAATTAGAGCACCCGAGAATCCTAGGATCTGATTAAATTGTGTTCTGTCGGACAGACTTCTTTTGTAGATTAGTCATGAAAACCATGCAGTGTTTCTCTTTGTATTAAACAGCAAAAAAATGTCCGCATGATGTGTTTTGGTTCCTTTACCTTGTTTCTATTTGGCTATTGTGCATGTGCACATCGTGATGTCGATGTTTAAAACTAAATGTTGTGCTGTCCACAGGGATCACAACCACAAGTGACTTTTGTCAGCAGTAGGAGACCAAACATAAACATCCTTCATAGTTTCTTTTTTAACTTGTTTTCACAGGTATTTGCTGTAGGTGTTTTCGGCATCATTGTAACACACTCCAGAGGATCCATGTCTTTTCTTGTAAGTGTTTTCCAAGTACCTACAATTTTAGACATAGGCTGACAGGGCTGGTTTCCTGGACAAGGATGAAGTGTCATCCTTGATCTAGGAATAAATCTGAGTGCCTTTTAATCATATCTCCTCTGATCTTTGTTAGTGGTGGAATGAAAAGGATTAATCCATGTTAAGGGAAATCATTATTGTATTAATGTCTGTAACGTTTCTATGACTTTATCTTTCACACAAAGATGTAGAAAACTTTTACAGCTTCAGATTACATTGTCAGTATTAACCATCATAGTCAACAGCTTTAAATATGTATGCGTTTCTTGGAACCTTTCCTTATTCTCGCTTGCATTTCTCTCTTTTTTTCCATGTCTGTTATTAACCCTCTGTGTCTGTCAGCGTTGGGTTTCTGAGAAATTGAGTGTGGAGAGCCTGCGGGATTTGGAGTTATTTGGAGGTGAGGTTCAAGCCAAACCAATTTGCAGCAAATGGATTCAGCTTTCGTAAACCACTGACTACACATTAGGTCATTCATCAGTGCAAACAGAAAACAGCATTAAGTTTTGATTGAAGCTCTGTTCTAAGTGACTATTTGCTTTGCTCTGCTTCTCAGACGTCATCCCTGAATTACAATTAGGAAAGTTTTCCATTCACTTAGTCATCTGTTACATGCCTTGAGCATTATTTTCTCATTGTTTCTGTTTCCCACCAAACTCGATCAGAGGACAGTACAAACAAAATCACTTGCTAATTAATGTCTCATGCGATTGTCTTATATAAAAAAAGGTCTGTGCTGTTTGATTCGATGCTTCTTGTGCATTTTTAAAAATATTCTGTGATAAATGGTTGCATACTTGTTTTTTGCTGTCAAGTATTTTGTCGTGCCTAAATTTGGCTTCATCTTTGTGGTGTATTAAGTTGCAGTGACACCTTTCACATCAGTGGTGATTACAAATAGGATGTACATGCATGTGTGTGCTGGTGTATGTCCTTCATGGTATCATAAATTACAAAATGGCAATTAAGAGAAGTCTAAGTTAAAAAGTCGTGAGTTCATACCATTACTGCATCACATATGTAATTCAGTTTAATTTAACTTGTGACTTACCAAACATCCATAGTGCTATCAGCTGGTTGCTTGATCCACAGAGTCCAGAGGGTTGAACTATGTTGAGCAGCTTTTCCACTCACTTTATCTTACTTCTGACCAACTGACGTGTTTACATACATCAGTGACATTAGCACAAAGCACGTGCATTATAAGAATTTATGACTGACATTTATTTTGACTGGCAGTGTTTAGCTTTTGGTTCGACAGTATGATGTAATTTCATCACAACAGAAGATGTGAGTGAATAAATGTTGGCGGTAGTTTATGGATGTGTTCTGCAACTTGGGATTTTGTGTACCAGCACAGAAATACAAATATATGCCCATGATATAACATGGCAGGTTGAAAAAAGTTTGAATGTTCATCCAAGCAAAGTTGATGTAGTTTGTTTTGTTATCCGAGTAAACTGTTCACTGTTGGCTACTGAGGTGCTTCTCTAAACAGACTCCAGTTTAAAGTCTTGTACAAGAGGTCGATCATTTTAGAAGGTGATGCGAGAGTTTCTCATTCACTTTTCCCAGAGATCTGCCAGAACACTTTGATCTAGGCCAACCACCTTCCATCCATAAATCTTTGTCCTGTGGGCTAACTGGGTGGGCTGATGTGATGGATGGCATGTTCACAAAAGTTCATGTAAATAAACAGTCAAGACCAAGCGAATGTGAGTCCTGAAAACATACATTTTCTTGTAATAATACTTATTTGGAAAAACGTTTTGAGGCATGTGCCTTAACTGTTGGACTACCAGGTTGCCTCGATAATCTGTATAATACGTGGCACATTGTTGAAGTTTTGAGTATTAAGCAAATGTTCTGGGATGGATCATGCTTTATTTTTTTGCAAGCTTTCCCTCATTTTTGTTTTATTGCTTGCAGCTCTTTGCTCAGGTTTGCATGTTTGCTCAAGTGTATCATTTCTGTTTTGGTTGTGCTCTGTTCCCTTTGCTGTACATAATACCTGGAAGAATCTGTAGCGTTTAGCCCGATTTTTTTTTTTATTTGCTTTGGGAAGAAAATGTTTGATGCCTTGTGAGCAGATGTGTGTACCTATTGTTAGCTGCGCGTCACTCTGTGGGTGGTCACCTGAAACACAAAGCTGCTGCTTTTAAAAAAAAAACCCTGGGAAACCAGTGAAGGTCATCTATCAAATACTGCTGCATGCAGCAAACCCTCAATTCCAATGCGTGCCAGTTCCAAAGCTTCTCTAAACATCGATCCTTCTCTTGTTTTGTCTGTGTACATGTTTTTATGTCATTGATGTGGTTTTTCTACCCCAGAGCAAGCTCAGGGACTCTCTCACAGGAAAGTAAGTGTGGTACTCCTGTCACTGCATCATCACCCCCCACATGTGCCTTTTGTGTATGTGCGTGCATGCATGTATATGTATGTGCGCACACAGATTTATACTTTAGAGGAATCCACAACCCCCCAAGGCTTTGCACATTTCTGTATGCATGAGCGTTCAGTTCATGACACACGCTGTACATGCTCGTAGCTCAGAGGGCCTTTTCACCTCACTCACCAGGACTTCTGCTACTATGTAGCTTTTTCCCTGCAAAGAGAACAAGCGATTCTCTTATAAGCCTATTTAAATGGTTCTGTCTGAGTCTTTGGTGTGCTGTTAACATGCTGTGCTCCAGGCGACTGCTCTGTTTTTGGATTTTTATGTCTGTTTGTAACCCCACGTAAAGTCTTGACTAATTTTTTTGAGGATATTTTTATGTTGAAGGTGACCTGATGTAGCGTCACACTTCGACTGTGGTCCCTGCAGCCGGCTAATGGATATATGGATGGAGTTCCATGTGTTCAGCTTAGTGCAATGCATGGCGACCCCTTCTAGATCTGATCACAGTGGCAGGGCCTAGTGAACCCCATGTGATTAGATGACATTTACAAAGCAATGGCTGCCAAAGCATGTCTGACTTTGCTGTCATGCCGGTTTTAAAGTAAAATGCATAAATACAAAATCATTTGGCTTAACATATTTTGGAACCATCCACATATGGAGCAACTGTGTGTTCCTGATCTTAAAGTCTGCTTAGTTGGATACAATAATTCTCAATTTTGAATGTGTCTTTATTTTTGTCACCATGGAAACAGTCCAAATATTTATACATCTTGCCTTCATTTGCCGCCACAGCTTGCTACTGCAATCTGTCCATTTCCATCATTTCAATGGCCATAAATTGATGGAATTAAGGAGTCCTCACTGCCAAGAAAATTAATTTTTCTCTACGTATGTCTGTGATGTAAAAGTCTGAAAGGATTTCTCATAGGTTTTGCATTGACTGCACTATTATTATTCGACAAGTTGTTAATCTAAGAGAAACCGCACAAGAGCATTGATGCACTTTAACTGTCTGAGGCCATACAAACAACATGTAGAGTTTTTTTTTATTAAGGGGAGCTATGGTGCTGGAATATGTTTCAACTATTAGACATACTGTAGATACTTGTACTCGCTATATATTTTGCTGGTTATTGTTTGTCAGTGTGTGTTACTAATGTCTTCTAATTCCACTAGTGCCTTGGGTCATGCTAACACACCTCAGTCTGTTCTCTGATGCTTTTTTTTAACAGATGTCACACATGGTAGTCACTCACAAGCCCTTTGTCACAATACTGCTCTGTAACAAACAAAGTCTGTGTCAGAAGAGATCTTAATTCACCTTGTTTCCTCCCCTCCACCTCCAGGCCCATGAGGACAGTCAGGAGAGTCTGACCTCCCTCCCCCGTCGAGACACCATGGGCAGCTTCCTCCCTGACAGCAGCTCATATGAGCTCCTCACTGTTATTGGTACGTAAAAACAAAGACACGCCCGGACACTGCTGCTCGTATTGATTTCAATGTACACAGGTTTCTGTCAGTCTTTTTATGGCATTGAGGCATTCGCAGCAGTGGAAAGTAACTGTACGTTTACGCAAGCACTATGTTTAAATACAATTGAGACTTTACTATTTTCTATTCGTGCTACTTAATGCTTTCACTCCACTACATTTCAGAGGAAAATGTTGTACTTTCTGCTCCTTCATTTATCTGAAAGTTTTTTGAAGATGAAGATTTTACACAATAGATTATATAACAACCTTTTAAAATACAACACCTTGGTAATGATTAATGTCACAAACTGTTCTGTGAATATAAATACTGATAGAAGAAATACTGATATTGCACAGATGTATCTATATTGCACAGATTCTCCTATATGTAGAGAAATTGATATTATTCAGTGTTTTAAAATGACAAAATATTCACCAGTAACTGTTAAGACTGTTAAGTTATGTTGTTTCTTTTGTATTTTACAACATTTATAAAGCATTAATATTCAAACAAAAGGACTGGGAGCATAACTGTGAGGGTGGCATGAATATTTCATAAAATGAGTTCTGTTTGTGTGCTTCAGGTCGGGGCTTGGACGACTTGATGACTGTGAACTTGGCTCGATACAGACCCACAGGGGACCATGTCGCCATCCGACGGATCGACTTGGAGTCGTGTACTAATGACATGGTTACTTACCTGCAGGTCTGTATCATCGCTCGACCCCATCAGTCTGTGTGACTCAGCTCCTCTGTCCTCTTTATTTCACCTCAGTGCTTCATTGGGAGTTCTTATGTAACCCTTGTCCTTTCTTTATTGCCTATTCTTGTGTGTCTAATTACATCCAGTCTAATCTTCTCTTCGCTGTCATCTTGACATAATAAGGTGTAATTTCCTCTCCTCTGTCCCCCAGGGCGAACTACATGTGTCAAAGTTGTTTCACCACCCCAGTATTCTACCCTACAAGAGTGTCTTTATAGCTGAGAATGAACTGTGGGTCATCACACCCTTCATGGCTTGTGGTAAGAAATGCACTTAAACTATTGTGTTGCCTCGCATGTAATAATAGAATGTAAATGATAGTGTAAAGCAGCTCTCTCGTCATGATTATCTATGTTTGATGATCTTGCAGGGTCAGCGAGAGATCTCATCTGCACACATTTTACAGATGGTATGGGTGAGCTGACCATAGCGTACATTTTGCTCGGCATGCTCAAAGCCCTCGAATACATCCACCACATGGGATATGTGCACCGGTAAGACACACGTTTACAGTGAGTGAGTGATAAAGGGAGGTGTTTTTAACCTTCTGAACCACAAAGCCAGCACGTTATCTTTAAAATGTCACCAAAATTACACCTTTTATCACAGCCGCAAACTGCAAAAACAGAAAGATTTACTGGACTTTTTGACATTCTGTTAGAAAAACTGACCAGATCTAAGCTTGAAATCAAGATATCTTCTCAAAATCACTGTTTTCTACATGTTATGGTAACTGTGGACCCTTTGAAATAATTTTTTCCCAATGCTTGTAAAATGAATAGTGAAAGAAATTCCACTTCATTTTTTTTACGATTCATGGCAATATAACTTGGTCATAGTACACAGAAGACATTTCTGATTTGTCTCTAAATCTGTTTATGGTTGTTCTGTTTTCATAGAGGTGCAGGACTTTATATTGCAGCGAATAATGAGCCCACAGTGAGTAAAAATGTGACAGCAACAAAAAACAAATGCCCAGAAACTGCCTGGGGTTCAGAGAGTTAAAGGTGGATATTACTACATTTTAAAAGATCATAACAAAGCAACAACAAATATATTCAATATTTTTATTCTGTGCCACACTGGAATGGTTTATTGACTGAAGAAACCAAAAAAACAATAATAGCAGGAGACAAGTTCATACATAGTTATTGGATAATTTGGATTAAAAAACTGCATCACCAACCCTTTTCTTTTTATTTGTCTATTATTAGGAATGTGCTAGTTCACGGAGTTAAATTCTGTCTTGCTAATTGATTGGGTTTTCGTGTGTTTTTGAAGTACAAGCCAATGTTTCTTCATAATATGCGAAACTAAAAAGACGACAATATGGAATGAACTGATATACCAGTCAAACCTACACTTCATTCCAGTTTGAAGTGACATCCAATATCTTAACTGTCTTGGCTGCGTAGGAGTGTGAAGGCCAGCCACGTGTTGATCTCTGCGGATGGACAGGTCTGCATGTCAGGTCTGCGCAGCATCTTCAGTCTGATCCGTCACGGCCAGAGAGCCAAAGTGGTCCACGACTTCCCTCAGTACAGCGTCAAGGTGCTGCCCTGGCTCAGCCCCGAAGTGCTGCAACAGGTACTGCAATCTACTGCTGTTTAATACAGTCTCTACCTCTTTTTGGAGAAGTTTTAGAAATGCTGTTCTGCAGACAAAGTTTCAAGGTTTTCTTACACTGTGTCCAGTAGCAAAATTGCAAAGGACTGTAAGAAAAGTGATGAAATTCTGAGGTTTAGGGCCGAGTGTGAACCAGCGGAGATGAGAATCAGCTTTGGAAACCGATGGCATCCCTCTAGGTTGGGAAGGAGTGGTTGCCCAAAGTGAAGAAGTTAAAGAATGTCATGTTCTTGTTTATGAGTGACGGGAAATGGAGTGTGAAATTGAGATGAACTGGTGCAGCATCAGCAGCAATGCGCATGTTGTACCAAACTATTGTGGTGAAGAGGGAAGGTAAAGCTCGAGATTTACTTGTTGATCGACATTCCAACCCTCACCTGTGGTCATGAGCTCTTGATAGTGGCTGACTAAAAGAATGAGGCCGTGAGATATAATCAGCAGAAGTGGGTTTCCCTTTGAAGGGTAGCTGAGCTCAGCCTGAGAGATACAGCCAGATAGCTGCTGCCCTGTCTTATCAAAGGAGCCAGCTGAGGTAGTTCAGCTATCAGATTAAGATGCCGCCTGGGTGCCTTCCTTTGGAGGTTTTCTGAGCAAATCCAACAAAGAAGAAAGCCTAAAGTAGACTCAAACTCGCTGGAGGGGGTAACATATCTCATCTGGCCTGAGAACACCTTGGAAACCCCCGGCAGGAGCTGAAATATGTTGGGAAGGGGGATGTCTGGAATGCCCTGCTTAGCCTGATGTCACTGTGACCCAGCTTTAGATAAGCAGAAGAAAATGGATCGACAGTGATGAAATTGACAGCTCTTTTGTATTTGTTTTTCTCAGAATCTACAGGGCTACGACTCTCGATCAGACATCTACAGTCTCGGCATCACAGCCTGTGAATTGGCCAATGGACACGTGCCATTCAAAGACATGCCAGCTACACAGGTGAGCAGAAACCTATCAGCGCTGGACTGTCGCTTTTTGTGCTGTAGAAAGTAGTTCCGTCTTGAAAATCATGGCAAGATAAATACAGCAAAGAGTATTGGGGCAAAGTTCAGTTGAAAAAACTGGACATTGACAGGGCCCACTCTTATAAACTTGGAGGTAAAGTTCGCTTTTATCTGAAATCAATAGATTTAAACAACATCACCTCCACAGATGCTGCTGGAGAAGCTAAATGGGACAGTGCCATGTCTGCTGGATACCACCACTATCCCCCCGGAGGAGCTGTCGATGAAGCCGTCTCGCTCTGGTGCTGACTCGGGGATCTGTGAGGGTCCAGGAGCAGGACCAGTCCGGCACTCTAACGGGGAGCCCTCCTCCTCGTCGGGAGGACATCCCTACAACCGGACGTTCTCCCCACACTTCCACGGCTTCGTTGAGCTGTGTCTGCAGCGAGACCCAGAGAAGAGGTTGGCCCAACTCAGCCTGCATGGTTAAAAATTGTATTGGAAATGCTTTCTAGAATTAGAAAGATTGAGACGCTAATTATTTTCTGTTTTCTTTTAGACCATCTGCCACCACTCTCATCTGTCACCCCTTCTTCAAACAGGTGTGTAAGATAGCAGGTCAATCCTGGTATTATCACTCATATCAACAACTACAAGTTTCTGTTATTTTAGTTGGATAAGCTAAGATGAAATAGACTTTACTGGTCCCTTACTGGGAAAATTCATTAGCACCTAAGAAATGTATGTTCAATCCAAATGCCATTTCCTTGTCATTTCTGTTACTGTAACTTGCAAGGCTTTGGTTTTCATCAGGTTTTTATGGTGTTTCAGTACTGGGAAGCACTTTTCTAAAGATGTAAAGTACAGTATGGAGACATAATTAATCGAACATGTACAGATTTATCAAACATGTAGATCAATCTTGAGGGTCACAAATTCCAGCCACTTTAGTGTTTTCTGAAAATGCTCCAACCTGCTACATTCTACTTTGAATATAGTAATGCAGGACAGATTAACGCTGTGTTACAAATCACATACTTTGTCTTTATACATTCAATGTGTACTACAGGTGCCCTCACAAAGTATGTACGGTTTCATGCAGCATGTGTACAACCGGGACATAGTACTTTTTCATAGTATAATACCTTAAGCTTTGACCATCACAGTCTCTAATGTGATATTAGCTGTAATCTGACCACTCTCTGTGATGTAACTGAGGATTGTGGGTGTATGCTGGCTTGCATACTGCAAAATACAGCTAGATGTAGAAGAACATCCAGGTGTTTTTGGCACACTACATTTGACATACCTTTGAGGTATACTACATCTTTTTCTGGGACACTATGTTGTAAGATATAATGGGTCTTGGAACCCACCCTTAGTTTTGTTAAACAAACATCTTGATTAAGTTTGCCCTCCAAATGTTTTTGTTCTCTCAGATTAAACGCCGACCGTCTGAGGCGCTGCCCGAGCTGCTGCGGCCCGTGTCGCCCATCACCAGCTTCGAGAGCTCCCAGCAGCAGGACTCTCCCTCTGGACTAGCCAGCCTGGAGTCCGGTCTCAGCCACCTGGAAGTGGACGACTGGGACTTCTGACAGCAGAGGACTTGGCGGGGAGACGCTCGTAGGATGAGAAGCTCTCTGAGCAGACAGAACGAGATTTGTTTTTCTAATGGTCCCCTTGTAAATAACACAAATCTCAGACTAAAAGGAGTTGCTGTTCTCAGAGTTCTCAGAGAGAGGTTAAAAGCCAGCAGCCATCTTGCCTCTTTTTGATGTCTCTCACATGCTTGTGTTCTCTAGATATGCACAAACTCTTGCACTGCACTGATGGCCTCTTTCTCACAAACACACACACACACCTGTTTACAGATTGTACATTACAAGCCCCATGGAGCCAAAACACAACAGGACTCCTCTGTTCCTCTTGCTGCTACTGAGGTGTCAGAGGAGGGTCTACGGATGTAGATGTAGCCTAAAGATTCTCATGAAACGGATCAGTGGGAAGCTGCTACTTAATATTCGGAGGGGACGCTCTACCTCTTGTGTGATCACGGCCGCTTGAAGTGGCCCATCTGCTCGGTGAGACCACCATAAGGGTGCACGGCGGTCCTCACGGCTGACTCAGTTAGCCCTCTGCACCAGACGGAAAGTCTCATGTAGGGTCAACTAAATGAACAGCATGTACACATGTTTCTTAGCTCTCTGCCTGTGTTACAGTATAAACTACATCTCATGCTTCAGGCCTCTCTTTTGTTGCACAGAGGTTCAAATTAACTCGTTAGTTTAACCTTCCAAGCATAGAAGTATGTATTTCCTTGAACTTACTCTGGGTGTTACTCATGTCAAAAGTGAATGTTTTACTGGTGCTTGTTTTGTCTGCATGTACATTTGAAAAGATGAGGGCAAAGCAAAGTGTTGCAAGTATCAGACTTGACTTTTAAAAATAAATTTGGTTCGCTTTAATGTTTTAACTTGATGGCACCACACGAAGAGGCTGTAAACCTTCTAAAAAAACTGATTTTATTCAAAGTTTACACAGACAAACACATAAGGGGATGGTTGGAGATGTTCATATGTTGCTAATCTTCCTCGTCAGATGGTGGCTGGTCTGTTGCGGCATGATGTTTCTCCATCTTTGCCATTAACTCTGAAATAAAAAAGAAAATAACAAAAAAAAAGTGATTAATTGGAATCATTAAGTTGTACTGATTACATAAATTATTTACATATAGTTTAATTTCCCTGTTTGTTTTTTAGACTGAGAATTCTTTATAGCATTACTTTCCTATCTTTATTCACTTTGAGAGCAACCAAACTTTCTGTGTTCTCGAAGATCTACTTTTGCCGCACAAATGTTTCGTGCTTCAGTTCGAGTAAGTCTCCTCCTGATCAGGATGCCTCAGCTTCTAGATAAATATATACTTTATTGATCCTTTGCACAAAATTATTTTGTGACAGCAGCTCCAATCACAGTCAAGAGCCAACATCTAACAAAATGTTTTCTGGCACAAAAACTATTCACAGAAGTACTATAATGTATGTAATGTGCAAAATATAGAGTACAGAAAAAAATGCAGTGTGCAAAAATCTTTGATGACATCAGACAGCAGGGTTTTGAGGGAAAGTATTACCAAATCTGAATGTAAAATGAAGAAACAAACTTGATTAAAGAGACCAAAACAACTGCTTACCTTTAGCAGGGTTAAAGACTCCGTTGGTTTGAGTATTGCACACATAGCAGCGCTTGGATTTGCGGTAATGCTGAAGGGCACAGGTCTCACAAAAATAATGCCTGCATCTGGGAGACATTTGACTTGTTACGATGCTGCAGCTGGTAATTAATACTAACATGCATGACTCATACAGAAGAAGAAGAAGAGACTTACTTTGTGATAATGGGATTCTTAAAGGATTCCCTGCAGATGAAGCACCTGAAGGGCATATCCTCCTCATCGCTGCTCACCTCGTAGTTCTCATCATCTGGGTGGAAACACAGTGGAGTCCAGAAAATGCTCATGTACATTATGCAGATTTTTTTTTTTAATTTTTAAAAAAATCACCCTTCTTAACTCACCATTGGCTCCATATCTGCCCTCTTCCAGTTCCCTCTCAATCTGCCAGCCATGTTTGTAGTCTGACCTGTCATGAAGGAACTTGCAGCTGTCTGAAAGCAGGAGAAGAGAACACATAAGTGAACTGTCAAGATATTAACATGAAAAAGTTGGTTATTCAGCAGATACTTTAATGTTCAAAATCTTACCTCCAAAACCACAGAAGCCAGTCTCCTTGTAGTCTTTGCAGATATCTGGCTGGTAGTCCCACCTGACTGTGGCTCTCAGGTGTTCAGGGGCTCGGATTGGTCCTTTTCTGGTAAAGAGGTTGAACAGAATTCATATTTTTGCATCCACTGATGAAGAATGTTTTGTGATGAATATGCCACTCCTTAGTTCTCACCTGACCATGCCAGAGGAGGCATTGCCCATGGTGGTATCTTTAGGCTTGATGAATTTTTGGTAGTTGTTGATGCCACGGTAGATTTTGTCATCTTCTTTTCCGGTCAGCTCCTATTGAAAGAAAAAAAAGCAGTTAATTCACCTGATTAAGATAAGATTCAGGGCTGATTATTTGACATTCATTTAAATGTTAAAACTCAGGTCAAAATTGGGGTAATGCCTAAAAAAATACATCAGTTATGAGAGAAAATGATAGTGTTTCCTTTTTTTCTTTGCAAAGACAAGAGTTTTATGAGACTAAAAGTCATATTAGCTTGTCTCTTACCTCCTGGATTTTCTGACTCCTCTCAAAAATTGCTTGAGCATCCTTGTCTCTCTCGGTGTCAAGCTCATATGTAGCAGTTGCACCCATGTCCTCGGGACCCTCTGGTTTCTTTTTTCATCAGGAAAACGGCAGAAAGTCAGATTTTTAAATTTTTTTTTAACCAGCTTTTATATCTCAGTAAATTTAAGAGGCAGCAAAACAGATGACAAATGCATAAAAACAAAACATCACAGATTCAGATGGAAAACACCTGAAAATAGCTTCTGAAGGAGATACTTGTTCATGATTTGTGTTTTCTGAATTGAGCATCAAAGCACTGCCTGTAAAATGCAATATGAAGGAAAAGTCTGACTCACCGCCGACCGTGTGGACTTATAGGCAACAGTGACCTTCTTGTCTTCTTTCTCCTCATCACTTTCACTCGAAGAAACGGCCTCTCTCTCCACTTTTTTTGTCTGAACGAAAAGAAAATAAGAGTCAGGCCTGTCTCGATATGACGCTAAAAGCTACTTTAACGTTATTATGGTTACAATACCCTTTGAATCATGGGGTTGACTCGACCACCCTTCTTTTCTCTTCTGACCACAGAGCTCTGGTCTTCATCGCTGTTACCATCTGAAAAAAAAGAAAAAAGTGCAACTTATATTTTGCTGAATCCTCTAAGCATTTAGATATTTTACACTTCACTGAAGCTTTGCATGAGTGACAGTAGATCAGCACATTTCTGTACTATTAGGCAGTTTAACAATATCTAAATATACTTGAGAAATAGAAGATACAGGTTGCCCAGAGAAGCTGTGTTGAAATGTAAGGCTGATCAGAAAATATCACACAAGATTTTGCATACTCATATAATCTTCTAGAATCACACAAATGTTGATTATTTTCTTGATTATTCAAATAAGTGTTTGATCTTCAAAAAGTCAGAAAATGATGAAAGTGTTTGTTGAAAACAAATTTTCTCCACAACCCAAAGAACTTCAGTTGACTGTCATAGAGGAGGAAAGAAACCAGAAAATATTCAGATTCAAGAAGTTTTAATAAGAAGATTCTGACCTTTAAATCTTAATCCACTAAACATTTTCTAAAACTGTTGAATTGACTACCTAAGCAGAAGCGAATAATTTAATCGTTGACAGCGAATTCATTATTCATTGTAGCTGTAATAAACAATACAATGAAATTAGTTATAATGATACTGTATGGAAGTATTTTATATACTTTTTTGTTTGACTCATTACTATGTAAATTATTCAGATAAATCAAAATCATAAAAAAGAATATTGGTTCTCAACCGAATACTTAATTTGTGACACCAACTAGATTCTTTGTATTTATTTATTTTTTAATGGAGAGCAGTTTGACGAAACAGTGGTTGTTTAAAATGCACTATATAAATAACGGTGACTTGAAAATACTTTCAAGAACATTTTTTCTGATGACATTCATTTTTTAACAATACACATGAGCTTTTGTTGTTGTAGTTTCTAATTTATTCATCCATTGATTTACAGCTCCCTAACTGATCACATAACAACAACAGGCTGCCCACACATGACATCTTCCAAATTCCGAGTGACAACAAACGCAGCACAGATGTGGAAACTACTTTCCACAGTAACGAAAATTGAACAAGCTGCTCTCAGTTTAGCACCGTTTGTTTGGCTCTTATAAGGTAAGTATTGTCACTATTTATTCAGAAACACAAGGACATACAGAAATACTTGCTAGTTAGTTTGTGTTAGACGTCTTTGACGTAAAGCCTGCGGTCAGGGTCGATGTCAAATCCACGGCGTTAAGAGCATAAGACGGTAAATGGCTGAAAAAAACATAAACCTTAGCTTAATGAGAAATTACTACCTTTGTCGCTGTCGCTCGCTTTTCTTTTTCGCCCAGAGAATTTCTTGGTAGATTTTTTGAACAAAAAAGTGCAAGAACCCGCTGGTGGCTTGTCTGATTCCGCCATCTTGCCAGAAGTATGTAAATACCTGCTGCCGCCACAGCGCCCCTGGAGGCTCGGAGGAACCAACACATTCTGTATTCACATTACAGAAACTGCTTTTCAGAGGATGTTTTTTTTTAACCTTTTTTTTTTTTTTTTTTTTTTTTTAATTAAAGAGTGACTTTCCCCCCCCAAAAAATGTACGTTTACATATTTTACAATTTACAAGTTATTTTTACAGATTTTCTATGCTTGATAAATTATCGATAAAAACGAATGAAATCACAGAACAGAAGTCAAAATTTACATGTTACCCTGAAAAAATCGAACTTGTAAGTTATGTGTTTTATTTTTATTGTTATTATTATTATTATTATTATTGTTGTTGTTGTTGTTGTTGTTGTTATTATTATTTTAAAGAGACAGTTTTACAGACACTTGCAGATTTTAGAAATTAGTTTTTACGGTTATTGAATGGTAGAGTAGTCCACCATTTTTTGTGTATTTTTTTTTTTTTGCACTCTTGATGCCAGATTTTCACAGTTTTAAAAAAAACAAACATAAAAAAAAAGACTATTTAAATAAAAAGTTAAACTTTCATTGACTTTCACCGATCCAGTTTAAAAACAAAACGAGTTGTAATGAATGTGAAATAAATGAATATAATAAAAAAGTAATAGAACTAAATAAGATTTACAGTGTCCATAAGAAGGTTGTTCTGTTTCTCTTCTGGCATTTAGTTAAAGAATTTAACATGAGCTGAAACATATACTGAATATTGCTTTTGGTGCTGCGTGTTTATATGTTGTTGTTTTTGGTTTTTTTTTTAACTGTTGATACCTCCCTAACAGACTAAAACATCGTAAACTATGTTGACGGTATGAGCAGATTAAATAATAGTAATAACAATAATAATAACAATAATAATAAACAGTTCTCAGAAGAAATAAATGAGAAAGTAATGATTAAGTAAAGTAGTTTAGTATGAGTACAGAAATACATGAATACATCATTTCCACCTGTCTCTCCACTGTGTTAAATGTTCAAATGAGTAGAACTAGAAAATGTGAAAATAAAAGCATCAGTAATGGATTTCTTATCAGTGCCATGAACAAGTGATGGTGCTTTTATTTTGTAGGCGTTAACCGGTGCTCATGCATCTAATCGTGTGTAACTTGTCGTTCCTCCTCCTCCTCCAGCATCAGCAGCATCCGTGGCTCCACGCAGAGGACAGCGGGTGATCGTAGGACACAGGGCCCGCGGAGGGAGAGGTCCTGGCCTGGGCACGGATCCCGAAGAGGCCCCGGGGCCGCCGCTGGATGGAGTCGGGCTGCATTCAGACAGCAATGGCTATGGGTCTGGCTTCGAAGAAGGCGTCTGCTCGGAGCGTCGGCGTGGAGCGAAAAAACCTCATCACGGTTTGCAGGTACACATCACGACTCCCTCGACGTGCCGTATTTATCTGTCAGTGCCTCCCTGCGTGCTGGTGCTCGTGATTTACCAAACCGTGGAGGATTTTTTTTTTTTAAGTCTAAGAAGCCCCTCTGCAGCGCTGATTCCTGAGGCGAAACAAAAGCAGCAGGGCTTCAAATAGATGGAAAATAATGCAGAATGATGCACACATTTATAGAAATGCAATGGATGAGTGTGAGGCAGGTGCGTTTTCACCTTCACATACCCCTGCCTGCCTTCAGTTTTCATCATCCCTTATTTTCTGGATAGCTGTTGTGATATTTGTCTATAATCTCTTTAAAAAGTCTATTTTACTTAAACTGTCCAGTGATCTGCTTTGTATCAGTCTAACATGCCAAATGCAGCTTTAAATGATAAAATGTGACTATACTGGTCAGGAAATACACCATCCAGCAGCAGGTTTCCTCCCCCATCACAGTGAGCCTGAATGGGACAAGGGCATTGGGAGCAGAGCAAGGACTCCTCCCCACATCAGTGGCCCTCCGTCCTCCTCCATCCAGCCGGTACAGCGCTGTGATGGACGCTGATGCTATACGGCTTCAATAAATTAGAGAGGTTAGGACTGTAAATGTCTGAGCTGAGAGGTCCTCAACATGTTCACTTTTATGTAATATCGCTAGTATATTCACATGTCCTCTTGGATCCAGTGTTTAGATGTGTTCATAGTGAGGTCGTGCTTCATGTTTCAGTCATCTGTTTTCAGTAGTTTCTGATGTTTTTTTGGCAAATTCAGGCCTAAGTGTTGACTTGGTTGGTGAATAGACTGAACAATTTTCAGGAGTCTTAGAGAAGATCATAATAAAATGCAGAGAGGGCATTTGCCTTGAAATCAATGCTTCTTTGCTCTTTCTCAGCGTTTCAACCTCAGATTTATTTTATGGATTTTGTGTTGGGAATGGCTGAACAAAATAGTTCATGCCAAGCATAAACTTGAAATCCCCTATTATTTATGTTGTATTGTGGGTCGCACATAAAGTGGAGACCAACCCAAGACTGCAAAAAATGTAAGTTTTACTTCAATAAATATCTTAAGTAGGTGCCGACCGGTCGGATCCAATATTCAGCATTTTTCAGCTTTCAGCTTTTTATCTTGTTTTGTTTGTTTATTTTAACAGATTCTTCATGAAATAAATTAACTTTAATGTGAGATACTTTGGCTCTGATTCAGCCATCTCTCTCTCTATCTGTAGTCTGTGTGTTCTCAAGCAAAGTCCTGCCAGCAGCACTATCTGATTTGTTACACGTCACAAGTAATAACCTGTCAACACTGCAGGATCTATGTTGATAAGCTGTCTTTAAATCAAACATATGGACGACAACATTTTATCCTGGAGTTTGTGGTATTCTAAGTTTTGACACCAAGATTTTTATTTTTACTGCAAATGTTTATTGGATCCAAATTTGATTGATAAAAACCAGAACCTGTATCGAATCTGTCAAAAGCATGTTAGTCAACCCATAAGCTAAAGGTCGTATCTGGGGGATAATGTGAACAGCTATGTGGAGCTCCAGCAGCTACAGTGTGACCTTCTCCAGTGTGAACAGTTGTGACAATGAAGTTCATGGACTACTAAAGTATTAAACTATTAAAATCTCCTGAAGTTATCATAAGAACATGTTGAGGACTAATTGTCACTTAGACACAAATAATGTTTATTAATGGGCAAATGAATATAGAATATATTATGTAAAATAATATGTTTTTGCACTGACACTCCTGTAGGATCACTCTCCAATATGATAGAATTTAAGCAGGGATCATGAATAACTGTGGCAGTTTAAAGGTCAATTTGTGAAATAAACCTCTGCCACAATTAATCGGTTAATTGATTAGTTATCAACTATTTAATAAATCAACAACTGTTTTGAGTATTTTTTAAACAAAAAACAACTCAAAAATGATCTGATCCCAGCTCCTTAAATATGAATATTTTGTGTTTTCTTTTCTCTCCATAACAGTAAATGTAATATCTGTGGGATTTTCTGATGTTTTGTAGCCCAAAGAACTATTAGTTAAAGGAGAGAATATCCATCCATCCACCTATCCATTATCTATACACCTCATTAGGGTCGCGGGGGGGCTGGAATCCATCCCAGCTGACTCAGGGCAAAGGCAGGGGACACCCTGGACAGGTCACCAGTCTATCACAGGGCTGCACTTAGAGACAGACAACCAAGCACACTGACATTCACACCTACGGACAATTTAGAATCACCAATTAACCTCAACATGTTTTTGAACTGTGGGAGGAAGCCGGACAACACACGCTGTACGGGGAGAACATGCAGAAAGATCCCAGGTGTCCTCACCGGGACACGAACCGGTGACCTTCTTGCTGCAAGGCAATGGTGCTAACCATCGAGCCTCCTGGCAGCCCAGGAGAGAATATTTGACAGAATAATCAGTAATGATAATCACCATTAGTCGCAGCTCCACTGTCATCATTGCTTCTTAAATGAACACAGTCACAAAAGGTATTCTTGAAAGTAAAAAATACCGATTATTATTATTACCATTGTCTCAGACATGTCTTGCACATTGCTGTCATTTCTTATAACTAATATCACTACAGCTCTGGATTAAACTGTATGTTTGATTTTAAATCTGCAATTTATGTTTACATATATAATCAACGATTAATATTTTCCCAAATATCTGAAAAAACACATAGTCACATGTTCACAGAGGCAAACATCTTCATATTTCAAACCAAAACCTAATCATATTTAAATTTATTACCCAACTGATGACAAAATGCAACAAATATTGATATTTTATAATTTGGAGATTTTATTTTTCCATTTTTGTTTTAAAATAACTTATTCATTTTATAAATTTGCTGCTGCTGTTTCAACTTGATTTAATGTAGCTTGGTTAGCATGGTCCTACTTTATAGTGCTTTTATAATATGTAATATGGTCGCTTGTGGAAACCTGCAGTAAAATTGTAGCTACTTTAATAGTTTTATAGTCCTCCTGTAGAATGTATTATCATACTACTCTGCGTCTCAAATTGCAATTTGATAATAGTCATAAAAGGTGTTCACTGACTCCTTTCTGTTTTGTTTTCTTGGAATTCAAAGCATCCTTGTTTCTACAAAACTAAAGAACCCCCACCAAAAACCAAGAAAAGACAATGTCCAGACTCTGGAATAGACACACAGTCAAGCGTTTTTATTCGTGAACCTTTCTGTTCAAGGTCCCGTCTGCATTTTAGTGACACGTAAAATGAGGCAAAACACACAACATCACACAGAGCATGCATGCAAAGAAAGAAAAGTTCCCACAATGGACTTACAACACAGAGAGAGATTAACAGGGACACAAAAACACTGTTGTTTTCAGTTTGTCCTGACCGCGCTAAGACAGATTTAATCATTTAAGCATTTTAATGACAAACAAACCTGACAAGACAGAAATAAAACCTCAAACAGCTTTCCATCAGTAATGCTTACTACACAGTTTCGTTCCATTTTTTCTAATGAACGTGACATTGATTAGGTTCACTTCAAGGGCAACTTCTTCTAGACTGTGTCGCTGCTCCATCTCCTCATTCGCTCGTGGAGTTTCTGACCCTTTTTTGTGTTGTTTTGCTGGTCAGAGTTGATTCAAGTAGTCATGAGTTGTTGTGTGATCGTACAGTCTGGATGGGGAGAGATCCTGAATCAGCAGTGGCCCTCGGGTCGCACAGTCAAGCAGGCTGGGGGTCGTGTTGGTGCAGGATCCAGGCGTGCTTACTTCCACAGCTGAAGGGCTGCCTGGCTACAGTAGCTAAGTCACATTAGTGCTCGATTAGTACACCGGGCCAAGCTTCTATTTACCCTAATACGTGTGTGTATACATATATATAAAGTTTGACCTCTTTTCCATCATGCATTGTTTAACATACAATCAGCACACAGAGATTAACAGTTTCAATTGAAAAGGGGCTGTTTCTGCTCAGTTTTGGGGTTGAAAAGTTCACATGTTGTTGCTTAAAGTTCCTCAGTTCTGTCTAGAACTAAATAAAAAATCAAAAAACTGGCATCACAGTCCTGTTTAAAAGTTACATACTTGATGTGGCATGATGTGGGTCACCAGTACCAGGCACAGACTAATCTCTGCTCAGTGTTTCGGTGCCTTTTCTACTTATCAGAATAAACCCTTTTTAATTAGAGACACATACTGTATGTACAGCAAAACACATTTGTGTGTAATAAAGGAAAACCTGATCAAACATTTGCACCACCTCAGGGAAACTTAGTTTCTGCACAAAGCCTGTATTGGGAAGTTTAAGAATTTTAACAGAGAGAGAAAAATAGTCAAAGAGATGACTGCATGTATTTTAGCCTTGTGATGGAGGATTTTTGACTTCATTCTCGCCCAAACTCACATGTCAGTTTCCATATTGGAGATGATCATTGGCAATGTTTTTGTTACTTCTAAGGTCAGACAGCATCTGAGAATCAAATGGAATTTTGTTTTAGAGACTTGGTGATATTTATAATGTCCACAGTGGCATCAGTGTCATCGTGATCTACTGTATCTCTGCACTGTTGCCACTGGCAACAGGTTTTATCTCAGTGTTGCAGGGCTGAGCCTTTCTGCAGCAAATTTTCATGCAACTTTGTGTTTTTGTACTCAATTTGATAGAAGATTGGTGGATCAGCAGTCAAACGATTTGGTTGGTATTTGTTTACAGGCCACATTCTGTGCTTTGATGTTTAAAATGGACAGTTTTGGTGCTTTAGTCTGGTTTAGAGCTGTCGTGCCGTTGTCCGTGACCGGAGGAACAGTGTTGCTGTGGACACGGAAGGGGGGGGAACCTAAGGAAAAATAGATACAGGAAGATGAGTGAGACAGGTCTGATGTGAAGTGTTATCCCTTCAGCTGCTTCCTGGAAACAAAAGGAACATGGAGGGAAAGAAGGGAGGGCGATGTGCTGTGTCTCGTCTGAGGTCTGAGCTTGTTCCGGGGCGTGGCTCGAGAGGAGAGAATAAAATGTTCTGTGGACATGCTTCGACAAGTGGGCTGCTCTGCTTTTTTGTTGTTGTTGTTGTTCTGAGCGTGACAGTTGCATAATTTTGTGCCACTTTCCACCTCTTTCTGTTCCCTTTCTTAGACAATATCAACAAATCTTTGAATCTGCAGTCACATTGATTTCTAGTTCAGCTTCTGTGCAGCCTTCCTTTGCATTTTCCCTGATTTCTGAACAGACTCTTATTTTTATAGCGTCAAGTATGTGAAATTACAGCAGAAGTTTCTTTAGCTGAACATTTGGACACCGCTCTCTCACCATCGGCTTCCCTGTTTTTCCTCATTTTACCCCCCCTGTCGTGCTCAAACTTCTGATTTACGCTCTCAGTGCTTCTCAGCCCAAACGCCCTTACTGTCCATCTTACACCCCGATCCTCCCCGCACCTCCTCTGACCACGGAACACTTTGCCTGGACGCTTTTTCACAGAGGGGATGGGTGAGAGAGAGACAGAGACACACCCTGCTGTCGCTACCTTTTTACATTTTTTAGTCTGTGTGTTTTTGGCCTGAATTATCCTAATTTTTATCAAAGCACAAGACATTTTTTTCTCTTTGCGCCAATCCAGTGCAGGACGAGACGTCTCTCGCCCCCGACAGTCCAGGACGATAAACACAGCACTGGCTGGTGTTGCACAATGCTGCGGCCAGCGAGGAGTTCGCCTGTGTCATCTGATCCTGCTGGTTATGCCAAGACTGAAGAAAGAAACAGAGACAGAAAGAAGAAGAAAGAGAAAGGAGTCAGGGAAATGTTTATGAGGGAGCGAGGAGAGTTAATGCGAGGCTTGCTGTGTTCAGGTGAGGTGTCCCTGCAGATAAATGCAGTTTTCTATGCATGTGGATCAAGTGTAAGTACAGTAGAAGGGTGAGGAGGGAGAACAAGAGGGCATTTAAAGAGAGCTGAGAGTGGGCTTGGCGGAGATCCAGGCTGAGTGAGAGGGGGCACAAAAGAAGCTTGTCAGAAGGCCCTGCAGTTGTTTTTCAGTGTCAAATCGTACCAAGAGCATGTTGCTATTCCACTCCATCCATTTGCATTTGAGGCATGCCAGTGATCCCCCCTTCACATCAAAGGACTTCAGTTAATTTACAATCATCTGCTGTAATGTTCCTTTTGAGATAACATTGCTTTATCAGCTCAGAGAAGTCTTTTGTGCAGCAGTTGACTTTCTTCTGTTTTGATTTTAAAAGCTGTCACACCAGCAAATGAGCAGCCCAACCAGTGGTTCCCATACTGGGCCCCTGGGAACCTCTGGTGGTTTTCCAAAAGTTTGGCAATCTGCATAATGAGGAAGTGCTTGGCTTCATGCATTTTTCTATCATTGGAAGTATGCAGTGCAAATATTTCACTATGCACTCCTTATCTTAGATTTTAACACAGAATAGCACATTTTACTACTAATAACACTTCTTTTTAGAGGGATTCCTTAACACAAAGTCATGTCACAGTCTGACACAGATCTGAAATGTGGCAATGACTGTGAATCCCTGCCCTAACGCCCAATTGGTTACAGGAATTGATATTTTTTGAGTCACACATGCAGAATCATAGTCAACACCTCAAGATGTCTCAGGACTTGATCGTCTATGCAGAAGCATTATCAGACAGATTTTAGATGCCACTAACCTGTTTCCTTGATAAATCCGGCTCGACCAGACAAAGTCAAAGCTCCAAAAGTAAATTTAATCCAGTTTTCGCTCTCAGTTGGAATAGACCCTGTGCAGACGCTGTAGCGGTGTCCATACGTTCCCCAACCCAAACCCCACGGTGCGCTCCCCTTTCATCTAGAGCGTCTTGCGTTTGGGAAAGAGGGCTTTCCGAAAAGAGGTGGTGGTGGTGCCCCTGCTGAAGGAGGCGCCTCCCAGCGAGATCTTGGTCTTCCCGCTGGTGATCGTGGAAGAACCCAGGGATGTCGTGCTCCTGCCCCGGCTGATGGAAGAGCCCCCCATGGAGAGCTTGGACTTGCCCCTCTTTATTGTGGTGTTGCCCAGGGTCAAGGCCGTCTTCCCCTCTGTGAAGCTGGTGTTGCCCATCTTCCTGACCCAGATTCGACAGCGGGGTTCGGGACTCACTCGACGCGAAGCATCGCACACTCATGCAGCACACCCTGCTCCGCAAGCCCTTGGCGGTAATAGTAACATCAACTATGATCCAGAGCAGACCAGAATGCTACGCGTGGATAGTGCGACCCCCGTGTCGCATAATGCCTTCGTTGAGCTGGTCGACGTGGGCTTTGGAAGGCCACATACCACCCATGTGTCCCTGTGAATGGACAGAGGCAGCCGTAGGTGGCCACAGCCTATCTGGGGGGACTGGGACAGTGCAGCGATTGTCCCTTCACCACGACGACACCGAACGGTTGAAGGACACATTGTTGCAAAGAGGACAGTCTGAGGTGACATCACTTTCTTCTGAGCCATTGTTCCCTATAGCCTCTGATTGCAAGACATTCCCTCTGTGTCCAACCGTATACACCATATGTGAAATGAGCTGCACAGTGTCAGTTTTTGCAAGAGAAAGGCTGAATGTGTTCAAGTTATCCACATGTATTCGAGGCTTTGATTGCACCTCTCCTCTATTTGTGTCGTCCCTCCGTTTGAACCATGGGTGTGGTTCCTTCACAGCTGGTTTTCGTTATCCATTTGTGTCCCTGCTGAACTTTTTTCAAGTCAAATGAGTGTGTGTTTTGTTCCATTTAATCTCGTGAGATCTTACAAAAAGTGCATACAAAACAATGAAGCAAAGCAGTGTTTAGACATGTTACTTTTATAAGCACTGTTACACCAATCAAACTTTACAGTCTGTTGAATGTTATGGAAATGCAGAATACTAGTCAGTCCTATCGACATGCACACAAAAAAATACCACATATATACCACTGATGTAGACATGTTGTTGGCTGTACATGCACAATACACAGGAGAATAGTGCTGGTGAAAAGCTCTCCACATACATCACACACAGCTGTTTCACACTTCCCCTCCCTGCCACGTCAACACGCCATAAAGCCTCATCTCATCAGTGTCACATTTGCATAACACGCTCGGCACGGCTTTGGGAAATCTCACATGTGATTGCAAACCCATTAGATCTGCAACTCACTTAGCACTTTCTCACATTGGAACCAAACAGCTGAGTAGCGTCATGTCTTCTTGAACTGACACACACTGATCACAAACATAGCAGCTCTTTTTTTTTATTGATTATTAATACTACTGACCTTCTAAAACTGAGCACATAGACATATCCGTGGGGTTTTGTGCAGGATTCAAGTGTGAAAATCCCAGTAGATGTTGCTATGCGTTTTATTGCCCCTGACGAGGGTGGTTTTGACCACCGACACGGACTTGGTCCCATGGGTGAAGGTCAGGGTGGTCAGGGAGCTCGTGGTCTCCCCTCGTGTCACAGAGGTGTTGCCCACTGCTATGCTGGTATTGCCCAAAGTTACGGTGGTTCTGCTCCAGGAGATCGAGGATTTGCCCCAGGAGATGGCGTACTTAGTCCTCAGGACAGAAACCCTGCCTTTGGTAAAGGAGGTCTTGCTTGACGAGAATGTAGTTTTCCACTCATTGTTAGAGTCATTTTTGGACTGCTTGGCTGCTTTGGGTGTCTTGGCCCTGGCCTCGGGGGTCCGTTCCATCTAGGTGTTCCTGCGCTTGGCCGTCAAGGCTTTCCGGAAGGAGGTGGTGGTGGTTCCCCGGCTGAAGCTGGCCCGTCCCAGAGCCACAGTCGTCTTTTGCCTTTGGATGGTGGAGTCTCCCATGGAGGTGGTGGTCACTCCCCTGAAGATGGAGGACTTGCCTAAAGAGACGGTAGTCTTTCCCCTGGCGATGGAGGTGTTTCCCACCGCCACGGCAGTCTTGCCCTCTGTAATACTAGTGTTGCCCATTGATGCAGAGGCAGTGTGCCTGGACGCCGGCTCCTAACATGCACGCTGCATAGCTGTCCCTCCGCGGCTGCAGGAGGGTGTGCATGTGCGGTTGAAAGCCAAACTAAAGCTGCAGCAGCTGCCCTAAATAGATCACACCACAATGTATAGATGAGGGGGAGGGAGTTATTTGATCATTCTTTGATGCTGACCGGTCCCTCAGAGAGACGAGACCCAAAAGGACCTGGAAGCACAGCATGCACAAAGGCTGAAAAGACAGGGGGTTAATTGTATTGTTTTCATGATAACACTGCCAAAGCACTGAAGGGGTACATTGTCCAGTACACAAGACAATTGGGGTGACCTCAGTATGATAAGATGGCGTGGTTCCCAAAAAAGAAAAAAGCCCTCCTCCCTGCCGTTGTTCAAATACAGTAGTACATTTGTCTGCTGGGGTACAGTACACGGCTACGCTTCATGTGCAGCACACAACCAGCTGAAATCCTTCATGTGAATATTTGGGGGGTTTTTTTCCCCCTTCTACATTGTGTTTTTTTTTTCTTTTTCTAATGCCTCTTTGTCTGTCTGCTTCTGTTTCAGATTCTCTGTAAAGACTCTCCTAGAAAAGTACACAGCAGAGCCCATAGATGACTCATCCGAGGAGTTTATTAACTTTGCTGCCATTTTAGAGCACATCCTCAGCCACCGCTTCAAAGGTAACACTGCAGGTAACATGCAGCTCAGGAAATGATGCACAAATCAGCTAATATGACTGAACGCGAGGCAGTAAAACATATTAACCCCTTGTAAACCAGTTTGTGTCTGAATTTTTTTTTTGCTCCCGTCTCTTGTTTACTCACTGCGGGCTCATTTTTCACTGCAATATAAAGTCCTGCACCGCTGTGGACGCAGAAAAAACTGAAAATGTCTTCTGTGCAGTATGACACAGTTATAATGCCAGTATCATTCAAGAGAAATAAACAGCAGAAGTTGATTTTCTGTTAATATTTGTTTTTTAAAAAAACAACAACCTGGAATTTACATGTACAACATGTTCCAAGTTGTTAAAAATTACTGGGAAAAGATGGTGACTTTACATACGATAGATATTTTATTACTTTCATTTTTTTTGTCTCTGGTCTGCTCTCTTTAAATACAGCCTGCAGTTCAGTCGAATAGTCGATGAATTTTCATCATGAGACTGTTGGTTGTCCCAGAGTCACTAAAGGGTTCTCAGTTGCCCAGAGAAGTGCAGAATTTTTTGTTTCTCACAGAATCTCATTAGTGAAAGCCATTTATTTTTGATAGATTTTTAAATGAGATGTGGAATAAAGTGATTTTGATGAACTATCATGAAATTAAGCTTAGATTTGATCATTCCTTTTAGACAGAAAAAGTGTCACTCATACAATAAAGGACAGAAAGTTGAAAATCGTCTGATTCCATCTGTTTTTACAGGATCTGATAATTGGTGTAATTTTGATGATTTTTCACAGATAAAAGGCTTTACAAATCTGCCAGCAGGTTTTGGGGTTCAAAGGGTTAAATATCAAAGCATAACTCTACTACGTACGTCAGCCTGTCAACATTACCCATTGAAACAAAATTGTATTATTGTCAGAAGGCCATAAAACAAGTGCGATTACACAGTCAGCTGTACTGCTGCCGTGGCTGCACATTTCTCAGTTCAGGCTGCTGTCGGAGCAGAAATGATTCATGATTGCTGTGTTTTATTCTTGGAACAGGCTCAGGAAGCTGGTTCAGCTCAGATGGACAGCGCAGTTTCTGGGAATATATCCGGCTGGCCTGCAGCAAGGTGCAGAACAACTGCATCGCCAGCATCGAAAACATTGAGAACATCAGCACATCGCGAGCCAAGGCAAGCATTTTTGTATGCACAAGTGTGTGTGTGTGCACGAGTGTGAGAGAAGGCCTTGTGTTCCCACTCACTTGTTATGTCGTCCTACAGGGTCGGGCGTGGATTCGAGTGGCGCTGATGGAGAAACGTCTGTCTGAATATGTCTCCACTGCTCTGAGGGACACTAGAACAACCAGGTCAGACCGAGTTGTTCATTGCAACCGCGTTTTTGGATTTTAAGGGATCCCCGCTGAAGTTTTACGTTGCTTCAACGTCATTGTAACTGTCTTCATTTGTTTATTGCTAACATCAGAACTAGGTTAGATTTTTTTTCCAGCAAATACAAATTAATTTTTCTTTTACTGACTACAGAAAAAAAACCCACTCCCAGTATGACACCTGAAAGTTCAAAATGATTAATCACCTCTTTATCTGACAGGAGGTTTTATGATGACGGAGCCATCATGCTGAGAGAAGAGGCCACAGTGCTGACCGGCATGCTGATTGGATTGAGCGCCATTGACTTCAGGTGATATTGTGCACTATGTTTTAAAATATGAATACTTAGACTGACCAGCCCAGAATTTTTGAAAATAATCCCAGTTATATGGTTTAATCATGAACAAAAGTTTACGTACACTTCTAAAGACCACGTACAGTTGAAAACAGAAGTTTACATATGCTGTATAGAAAGACATAACCTTTTTTTTTTTTGTCACTGTCTGACATTAAATCAGACTAAATTTTTACTGTTTTAGGTCAGTTAGGTTTACCAAAATTATTTCTATTTGCTAAACACCAGAATAATGAGAGAGAGAATTTTTTTTACTACTTTCTTCAAAGTCAGAAGTTTACATACATTTTCTTAGTATTTGGTAGCATTGCCTTTAAACTGAATGACTTGGGTCAAACGTTTTGGGTTTCATTCCACAATTTCTTCATAATAGTTTGCTGGAATTCTGGCCGATTCATCCTGACAGAATTGGTGGAACTGAGTCAGGTTTGTAAGCCACCTTGCTCCACACACCTTTGTCCACAAATTTTCTACAGGATTGACATCAGGGCTTTGTGATGGCCACTCCAAAACATTGACTTTGTTGTCCTGAAGTGTCTTTGTAACTAATTTGGAGGTTTGTTTAGGGTCATTGTCCATTTGGAAGAACCACTTGTGCCCAAGTTTTAACTTCCTGGCTTTTCCATGTTGTCACAAAAGGAAGCAGTGTGTTGGAGGTTTGCCTTAAAATACATCCACAGGTGTGTCTGCAATTAACTCAAATGTTGTCAATTAACCTATCAAAAGCTTCCAAAGCCATGGCATAATCATCTGGGCATTCTCAAATACTTTGAAGGCATAGTAGTCTTAGTGTATGTAAACTTCTGACTTTGAAGAAAGTAATAAAAAAAATCTCAAAAAAATCTCTCTCCCTTTATTCTGGCATTTAGCAAAAATAAATAATTTTGGTAATCCTAACTGACCTAAAACAGGAAGAGTTTAGTCTGATTTAATGTCAGACAATGAAAAAAAAAGGGTTTATGTCTTTTTATACAGTAAACTTCTGGTTTCAACTGTATATAATGGCAGACTCCTATAACTCTGAATTTTGTATGATCAAATCATTGAAACACATCTTGATGATTAATATGACAAAATCTGTTGGGTCAATAAAATACATACAGCAACTTGAAATATCATTTTTGGTAGTGTATAGAGCTGTGTTAATCAGATTTTGTTTGTGGCATGGCCTCTTACCTTGTTGTCAGTCACTACGATTGACTACAGCTGCTGACTCCTCTGAGCCAGTTTAAACAAGGCCCATTTAATACTCTCATTAGACTCAGTCACAAACACTACAGTGGGAAAAGTCTGAGGAGGTCAGCACAGATCTGAAAAAGCAAAACACTGACTTGAACAAGTCCAGAAAGTCACTAAGAGCCATTTCAAGCAGCTACAGATCAGTCATGGTAAAGCACATGGTACAGTCGTGTGAGGAAGAAATCATGTCTTGTTTATTGCACAGCCCTGTGGAATAATCACTTTGCATTTCACTGTCCACACTGTGTGAGCATGTCACAAATAAACTCTTGAATCTTGAAAAGGTAACGAAATAAACAACTAAATAGTTTGCTTGAATTGAACTGAATTGCAAGGCTAACACATTACCTTCTGAAATAATTGGCGTACTCTCACAAGTTTACCATCCATCATCCATCCATTATCTATACACCTTAATCCTCACTAGGGTCACGGGGGGCTGGAGTCTATCCCAGCTGACTTAGGGCGAAGGCAGGAGACACCCTGGACAGGTCACCAGTCTATCACAGGGCTACACTTAGAGACAGACAACCAAGCACACTCNTTCATAATAGTTTGCTGGAATTCTGGCCGATTCATCCTGACAGAATTGGTGGAACTGAGTCAGGTTTGTAAGCCACCTTGCTCCACACACCTTTGCCCACAAATTTTCTACAGGATTGAGATCAGGGCTTTGTGATGGCCACTCCAAAACATTGACTTTGTTGTCCTGAAGCGTCTTTGTAACTAATTTGGAGGTATGCTTAGGGTCATTGTCCATTTGGAAGAACCACTTGTGCCCAAGTTTTAACTTCCTGGCTTTTCCATGTTGTCACAAAAGGAAGCAGTGTGTTTGAGGTGTGCCTTAAAATACATCCACAGGTGTGCCTGCAATTAACTCAAATGTTGTCAATTAACCTATCAAAAGCTTCCAAAGCCATGGCATAATCATCTGGGCTTTCTCAAATACTTTGAAGGCATAGTAGTCTTAGTGTATGTAAACTTCTGACTTTGAAGAAAGTAATAAAAAAAAGTCTCAAAAAAATCTCTCTTTCTTTATTCTGGCATTTAGCAAAAATAAATAATTTTGGTCATCCTAACTGACCTAAAACAGGAAGAGTTTAGTCTGATTTAATGTCAGACAACAAAAAAAAGGGGTTTATGTCTTTTTATACAGTAAACGTCTGGTTTCAACTGTATATAATGGCAGACTCCTATAACCTCCTATAACCAGCGACCTTCTTGCTGCGAGGCAACAGTGCTACCAACTGCTCCACCTTGCAACCCTCTCACAAGTTTACCAAGAGGACTAATTGTTTACAACGGCCAGTATATTTACTGGTGGATAGTTCTCACCAGTTTGATTGATGACATAAAAATAACTTGTTTGTTTCTTTTTCTGTGCAGTTTTTGCTTGAAGGGCGAGACTCTGGATGGGAAATCCCCAGCTGTGATCGACTACACACCCTACCTAAAGTTTACTCAGAGGTGAGACTGACCCAGCTGATCTTTATTTCTGCATGCATGCGTGGTGCATTAACTCTTCTGCCTCTCCGCCGTGTAGCTACGACTACCTGAGTGATGAGGAGGACCGCCACAGCGTGGACAGCAGCAACAGCGAGGAGAGCGTCCCAGAGCATCCCTACATCCCCCTGGTGACCGACGAGGAGAGCTGGAGCAACAAGTGTCGCAAGATGGAGCAAAGGTTTAAGATCGTCTACGCCCAGAAGGTGACTCACGAAAACCTGAAATCACAGTTCCTCACTGTCAGCTTCTATACAGAAATCCCTACCTCACTGTATGTGTTGTTCAGGGTTACCTAGAGGAGCTGGTTCGCCTGAGAGAGTCACAACTGAAGAACGTGGAGACGGAGAACAAGAGACTGAGAGCCAAGGTGGAGGAGCTGACGGTGCAGAGTCAGCAGGAGAAGAAGGAGCTGGAGGCCATCGTGCTAGAGCTGCAAGCGCAACTGTAAGAACATAGAAACGTTGAATTACATTTCTCTCATAAACACAAAATAACTTTCCAGAATTACACGATATGCATTCAGTCGGCAGAGGTCAAAGAAGACGTTAAAATGGAAGTTTTAACGCAGTTATCGTTTTCAGTTGAAATAGATTATTGGTTGGTCTACTGGTTGTTCACAGAAGAAATGATTACACGAGTTTCCGATGGTCATGAGACCACAAGGGGACTTTGTTTGTCTCATTTCAAACGCTAAAGAAGAAAAAGCCTTTATTTGTCACACACACATTAAGCCCAGTGAGATTGGCTTTTCTGCATGACTTCAGCTCGGTGTCAGAGCGCAGGGTCAGTTACGGTACAGCGCCCCTGGAATAAACAGGGTTAGGGACCTTAATCAAAGGCCTCACAGGCAGCTTGTGGTGAATCCCCAACCTTCTGAGCAGCTGAGCCAACACTAGCCCTGTATAGATATATTTAGAATATATAATGCTTTTTTTTTTTTTTTTTCAAGAAAGAAAAACAGAGCTGCCCAAAATCCCTAATTTTCCTACCAGCTCAGTGCACAAATCTGGAGATTTGACAGTGATAAAGGAGGATTACCAACACCAGGATGTATGTATGTTAACCCTCTGAACCCCAAAACCCCACAGTGGGTTGGAAAGGCATGTTATGTATAAAAGGTCCAAAATGACACCATTTATCAGAGCAAGACACGATACAAACAGAAAGAATGGTTGGATTTTCAACATTCCGATGGTCCTTGAACTTAGAATGTGTGCCATGCAGGTCTGTCATACAGAATGAACCAAACTGTTGCTGAAATTTGCGATATATAATCAAAATCACTTTTATTCAACATGTTTCATTTTAACATTTGACAAAAATACACCGTTTGAAGAAAATTCTGCATTCAACAGCACAATTAAAAAGCCATGACCGTTTCCTGTTGTATTGTGGGCCATGTTTAAAAGTGTATTTGTTGATTCTAAGCTTTTTCATTTTTTGTAAAACAAAAAATCAAAGACTTTGTTTTTTCTTTTTTATGATTTATGGCATTATAACAATGTCACTTTGTCCGTAGAACAAAGAATCAAACAAATTTTAACTTTTCTTTTTTCTTTTTTTTTTAGATTCATGGGGTTATTACTGTGCCACATTGCACAAACAACAATTTTGAGCATCTCTACTTCTAGTCATGGTTGTGCCGTTTCCCTAGAGGTGCAGGACTTTATACTGAACCCACAGAGAATAAGAATGTGGAGTTCAGATGGTTGAGTGACAGTAACATTAAAAACTAATGAAAACACTCCAGTGCTCATTTACTTGTCACAACAACTACAAACTACAGATACTTTCACCGTTGATGTTTAGGTGCATGGTTGATAAAATGAGAAGTTTTTTGTCAGATCTGAGTCTTTTTTGTCCTGTGCTTCGTTCAGCTCTGCCCTCATGCCCTGTGATTCCTCCCATCTGGCTAAAGACCTCTCCATCCCGCTGGTCAACCAGTGGTCCACCATCACAAACAACCAAGGCGATGTCAAACTCTTCCGCAGGTACACGTGCAGCAAATCTGCAGAGCTTTTCTGTGATGTTTTAATGCAGTGAGAATGAAAACAAGTCAAAACAGTGTTAAATATAGATGCCATTAATACACAGAAGACTGTGCTGATGAGAGGATATTTGTGTCATCCAGGAGGAGTTTCCACAGTTTGGAGCAGCTTTCTGCTGAAGTCAGTCTGCACTCAGACTCCCAGAAGACTGACGGGAGGCAGAACGGAGACGCTGCCTGGACCTCAGCTGGTAAAAAGTGCTTCTACATGCATCACAAAACATTTACTGCAGCATTTAAAAGTGCAGCGAGGACAGCGATTACTTTTTGTCCCACCTTTGCTTTTAAATAAATCGTTCAATCAATTGTCTGCTTTTTTTCCTTAAGCAGAGAAAACATTTTTCATAGTGTGACAACTACTGTATTGTATAATATTTGTACACTCCCCACCATGACATGAAAGTCTTTCAGAGGATGACACTTATGCACATGTGCACACATATTAAATGGCAAATTTAAGCTATGACATTTTAACTTCCTTTGATTATTAAAAACAATAATGAGTTACAACACACACTTTTTTTTGCATTTGATTTTGATTGTCTTGCATCACATTTTGGTAGTTTTATGTACTTTTTAGGTAATTTTGCAGCTCAATTTGGGCGTTTTATGTCTTTTTTTGGTGCTTTTCCATTTATTTTAGGTTGTTTTGTGCTACATTTTGGCAGTTTTCTGTCTTTTTGTGGCTGTTTTGCATCACATTTTAGTTGTTTTAGTTTGCATTTGTATTTGGTTGTTTTGTGCCACAATATAACAAAAACACATTTACTGCAGCATTTAAATATGCAGGGAGGATGGTTATTACATTTGTGCTACCTTCAATTTTAAATAAATCTTTCAATTTCAATTAGCTGCTTTTTCTTTTTGTTTTTTTACTTCAGCAGAGAAAACATTTTAGCAATGTATCATTTCTGCTTGAGCAGGAATATATTTGTACGCGCCCCACCACTACATAAAAGCCTTTCAGAGGCAGCCACCCATGCACATGTGCATACATATTCATAGAAAAGCAGCCTGTTTATGGTGTTTCGTGTGGGCAGAATAAGCTATGCACGGCCGTAAGTCGAATTTTATTGTGTTTTCCTCTGTTTTTTGCTGCTGCAGGGAAAGACAACACTCCCTCCATGCTGGGTCTGTGCGGCTCTCTGGCCTCGTTGCCGAGCTCCAAGTCGCTGGCGAGCCTCAAGTCCAGCGAGTGTTTGGTGAACATCAGCACCGAGCCCAGCCCTGCGCTCTCTCCCAGCTAGGAGCTCCAGACCAACAACAGCCACGATTTAACCCCCAGCCTGTCTGCCTGGTGATGCTGCGTTGTCCAAAACCACCCCCCGTCCTGCTCCCAACCAACTCTGAGAGAAAACAACAGGAAAGTCATGACAGCACATCTGGATTTTTGTACGTGAACGTGAAGTCGTCATGAAGCTGAAAGGATCCATCTCTTTTGGTTCTTTCCTTTCTCCTCGCCTTATCCACTTTCCAGCCTCCACTTTGTACTTTCTGCAAATCCCCTTCATCCAGAATCATGCAAAGCCTCCGGGAAACACCCGCCAGACCTTTTCCAAAGCATCCCATCTCGCTCCTTATTTGATCATCTCCCCATGACGTCGTCTGTGTGTTGTTGCACCTTTGGCCTGTTTTATTCTGTTGTAACCAAGACAGCACTCGCAGCTCTTTGGATGCAGCCAAAGTCAAATGAGATGATCTTTTTAAGAGCTGCAGATATAAAGTCAGAAGGCGGTTTCCACAAGCTGCTCCTTACAGAGTCTTAGAAGTGTGTTTTCTGAGTGTGACTGAATGGTATGAGAGTGCATATCATTCCTGCTCGATGAATCAAAGGCCACAAACTCTTGCAGTATTTGTGCAGCTATTTATTGATTCTGTTAAATATTTAGCTACCACATCTGTTCATTTATCTCATTTCGATCTGGTACAGCAGTATGTTCTTTTTACATTGGGTTGTTTTGTTTGTTTTGAGTTGCAATAAACTGCCTTTTTCCATTATGTGTGTCTGTATGGCTTTTTTAGTGACCAAACGAACAAGTGTCAAAAACAGCGATTGTAAAAATGGCTGCTTGTTGCATTACTGTGGCTCCATCTAGTGGTTTAATGCAACACACTGTGCTGGAGAAAAAAAAAACTGTCATCTCAGTAGGTTCTGAGCAGTTTTAGGCTTCTTTGGGGGACAAATACAAGTAACTAAATTCTAAAATAAAGCAAACTACACTATAGACTTCATACAAACTCCTCCTCCGTGTGGATTCAAATATTTCAATCAACTTGCAAGATTTTCATGCTCAAGTCTCCAATAATCAAAATGCTGAAATCTTACCACCTGTATGGGAAACAGTTAATACAGCAGTAACAGAATCTGAGGTCTTTGCACTTCCTTCTCAGTTGTTGTTGCTGATTGACAGACTGATTTACTACCACATCCCTCCACTCACACTTACAGGGCAACAGAGAGTCTGAGGAAGCTTTGTTTGAAAATAACTGTCAAATACAAAGTTTAGCAAACATCTGCACTCCTAACTCATTTGATACTGTTTTCTTCCCTGATGCTGCAATGAAGTGAATGCAAGCATATAACTAAATAAGAATTTGCAGTAACCACACAGCCTTTCAGCTTTCTGTGGTTTCGTGTTGTTGCTTGAACATATTGTTGGCAGAGCCATATCACTTCACTGTGGTCTCACTCACAGCATTAAGTTATGTAAGGTTAAGTGTATTATATTACAGTATAGCATTATAGCTATAGAAAATTTTATGTAATGTGTGTTGTTAAATTACAATTAAATTATATTAGGTTATGTCATATTATAGTATCCATCCATCCATTATCTATACACCACTTAATCCTCACTTGGGTCATGACTTAGAGTGAAGGCAGGGGACACCCTGGACAGGTCACCAGTCTATCACAGGGCCACACTTAGAGACAGACAACCAAGTACACTCACATTCACACCTACAGACAATTTGGAATCACCAATTAACCTCAACATGTTTTTGGACTGTATGAGAGGAAGCCGGAGAACCTGGAGAGAACCCACGCTGCACGGAGAGAACATGCAAACCCCACGCAGAAAGATCTTGGGTGTCCTCATCGGGACGCGAACCAGCGACCTTCTTGCTGTGAGGCAGTGGTGCTAACCACCGCTCCGCCTTGCAACCCCATATTATAGTATGCAATGCTGTATTATAGAATATCTTATGTAATGTATGTTGTTGGATTAAGTTAAGTTAAATGATATTATATGATGTTGTGTTCCGTTATGTTCCATTACATAATGTGTTATGTCAGATCATATTATGTTATATTATGTCGGATCATATTATGTAATATTTTACTATGCTTTGTAATGCATCATATTATATTATATTATTCTGTCATTATGTATACAATAATTTCACCATTTAATTTGTGCTTGTGGCACTAACAAATACACACTTCACACTCTTATTAAGCAATGTAGAAGTGTGTTTATTCGTCATTATTGGCTATAGTGCACAAGAAAAGGTCAATCATATTAGTATCTCTGACTCCTTTCTACTTTTCGATAGGATAATAATAATAACAATGACAATCATAAAGCATCCAACCAAAGACAGTTGTTTAAAGTTGTGTGAACACAGAAACAGTCTGTTTTATGGTGATGAATGAGGACATTTTGATGTGTTCATGAACACAGAATATATGAAGAGTTCGTTTACAAAACCGATAATCCATTTTTGTAGATTTTCAGAAAACCTAGTTTTTTGTTGTTTGCCTCAGGAAATATCAATCGGACTGAAGTTGAGTGGATCTGACTCAGTAGAAATGACAAAAATAGAGATAACTTAAGCTTGATTGATATTGTCTCAGGTAGATGATGGAAAAGTGGGTTTTCTGAAAGTTTGTGAAGATGGAGTTATCTGTTTTTTGCGAATGAACTCTTCATATACGGAAATAAGCACAAACATTGTGGGGGAACTGCACTGATTAACGCATGATAATAAACAGACTTTGATTTATTTTTTTTTTATTTAAAAAATTCCTCTATAAGTGCATGCACCTTCTGGGAGCTGAGCAGCTTTCTGTCAGTGCCACAAGATATCCTAATAGTGACCTGAACCACACACACACACACACACACACACACACACACACACACACACACACACACACAGAGTGAATAGATGAGGGTTTTAAAGGCAGGAGGGGGAAATCTCACCAAAGTGGGAGGGCACTCGAAGTTTTTTTTGGGGGGGTTTTCCTCTGAGGAGACAGATGGATGTGTGGACCAATAAGAGCTCAGCAGCGCTCTGCAGCAGCCAACCGCATCTCTCTGCCTGCAATTATACGCTACACGAGATAGTTGCACAGGTTGAGCTGTTGTGTTGTCACTTTGCAGACAAGAGAAATAAGCAGCAATATGTGAGCCTGGGCTGCAGCCCGAAAGGATCTTCTGCGTTGAACTCTCTCTGCTCGTCTCTGCGCCTTTTTTTTTTTTTTTTTTTTTCTGGAGCCGAAAGTAAAACTTGTGAGGCAGCACGAATCATGGTCATCATCACAAAAGAAAGGCCCGATCACAGCTCTCTCTGGCTGAATTGACTGTGGTCCGAAGGAGCCGCAGCGACCGACGAGGAGAAGAAAAGCAAAAAAAAAAAAAAAAGTTTCTAGAAGCCTGTTGGAATTTGGGGGGCATGTCGGGCCGCAGCGGAGCAGCAGCGCCCCGGGGGAGCAGCAGCAACCCCAGCCTGCAGCCCCTCAGAGCCACGGTGCCCTACCAGCAGCTCCAGAGGGGCTCCGCTCTGCTCTGCAGGGAGGTCAAGACGGGTAAATACTGCAAGGCTGCGTTCACCTACATGTGCTGCAAGCCTCAAAGTGGCTTTGGTGTCACTTTATCTGCCTTATAAGTGACATCAACAAGAGCCAAGAGTGTTGATTTGTGGTGATTGTGAAATAGAATGGATTTAATTCAGTCATCATAATGGGAGAGTGGAGCCAGCACTAAGAAGCTGCAGCTTTTCTTTGTCACACATCAACATTGATTAACCATGTTTAGAAAGTTGGTCAGACAATCTATGGTGGGCCTTTTTTATTGCTATGGTTTGTAGACTAAACAACTGACTAAGTCACCCAGAAATTATTCAGCAGCTATGTTAGTTATGCAAAAATGTTAGTTGCAGCTCCAATCTCAGTGTCAGCAGGAGTTATTCACGAATGAATGGCTGACAAATTCAAGTGATCACGTCTTAACTTAAGCTCATTGTATTAAGACTAAATTAACTACAACACAGGAGCACTTGCGCGTTGCAATTTGGACATTTTGCATCACATTGAGGTTCATTTTATGTCATTTTGTAGTCATTTGTGCTTACTTTTTGTTGTTTTGTGGCACATGTTGGCTATTTCTGGTGTTTTTGCAGTAGTTTTCATTGAAGTTAGGTTGTTTTATGTCTCATTTTGGTTGTTTTATAGCCACTTGTGGTCGTTTGCATCAGATTTTGGTTGTTTTGCGTAGTATTTTGTGAGTTTTATGTCATTTTGTAGTCATTTGCTCTCAATTTTGGTTGTTTTGTGCCACATGTTGGCTCTTTCTGGTCTTTTTGTGGTAGTTTGCATTCAATCCTGGCTGTTAAATGCCACATTTTGGCTCTTATGTGGTAGTTTTGATTGAAGTTCGGTTATTTTGTGTCACATTTTGGTTGTTGTATGTCTTTTTGTGGTCATTTGCGTCACGTTTAGTTTGGGGTTTTTTTTGGCCTATTGTGTGTACTTTTGTGGTTGTTTGCATCTGATTTTGTCGTTCTGCATCACATTTTAGTCATGATATGTCTTATTTGTTGTAAGTTTTCTTAGATTTTGGTTGTTTTCTGCCACATTTTGCTTATTGTATGTATTTTTGTGGTTGTTTTGTGCCACTTTTGGTCATTCTGTTTTCTGTTTTCTGTTTTTCTGGTTCCTTGGCCTAACATTTTGGTTGTTTTTGATCATTTTGTGGAAGTTTTGCATCGTGTTATTATCATTTTATGAACCACAGCTCCATTAAATTCGAAGAAAAAGACCAGAATTTTAAACTGAGGGCTGCTAGTAATGATTATTCCCACTTTCCTGTCGTTGTGTGGTCTGTAAAATGTCAGAAAGTGGTGAAAAATGTTGATCAGTGTTACCCAAACCACAACCCAAAGATATTCAGTTTGCTGTCATGGATGAGGAAAGAAACCAGAAATATTTATATTTAAGGAGCTGGAATCTGTACCAATTGATCATTTATCAAGATAGTTGGTTGGTCATTTTAGTAGTCAACTAACCAAGTCTAACCATTGCAGCTCCAGAATGAACTGCATCCCTCTGCTGTCTCTCCACTGTCTTTTTTTTTTACTCTCCACTCCCAGCACACTATGAGAAAGTTAAGTCAACAATGAAGGCTGCTAACCCTGAAACATAACACTGTTCTCATAATGTTATTTGGACACTCTGCTGCCCCTTTGCACTCTGACCTGCGGGATTTCTGCCGCATGCTTCATACTAACACAGCAGCAGCTTTAAAGGCCTCTTTGTTTTCCTTGGAGCTCTTGTTCTTCAACTGTATCTGTCAACATCTGCATGTTATTTTTGCGTCCTGCAACCTGGGCTGAGGACAACATACCGCCGCTCCGCTTCAGGGTTGGGTGGTAAATAAACTTAAGTAGCCTGTGGTGCGCGTTGCCAGCGTTGTTGTAGCTTCGTGGCTTCACTCCAGGTCAGAGGCTCGGTCCACACCTGCCAGAGACACAAAGAGCTGCCAGCACACTCGCGCAGCCTGGAAGCAATGCTGTGAACAGCCACCACTGGTGTTCAAATACAGCTGAGCCTCTTAAACAGACTTATTTACATGTATGTTACTAGAGGATAAACGTGATCACACAGGCACGCGTCTGCAGAACAGTTGTGACATGTAATGAATGAAGGTTTACACAATCCTGACACTTTTTTTATTTCTGTCCCACCAAAAATCAGACAGAACCACAGCTCGGCCACCGAAACCCACCATCCGCCGAACTCTTTCTCTGGACGCAATCTTGGCTCCCTACCTGCAGGGCCAGTGGCCCAAAGAGGCCGAGAGCACGGCGGTTACCTGTGTCAACGACAAGGCCACGCAAGTAAGTATTAATACGTCTCTGTTAAATCAGGTGGTGTAATTACAGTAATTAAAAGAAACCAGGACAAAGACATGCCAGTGTTTCTGCTGCTGCTGCTGCAAGAACACATTTCCAATAAAACCTGTTGCTTCATGCAGCAGGAAAGATAAACAGCATACAGGTTGGGCTCCAAATGTGCTTCTTCTGTGTTACGGGTTTTCTACAGAGGACAAGATATCTGATGTTGGCTCTGCAGGTGTCTGGTGGTTCCAGTTCGACGCGGCGGGTGGAAGGCAGCCAACTGGAAATAGTCGTTTTTGTTCTTCTTGAAACTCCGCCGCTCCCCCCCGCCGCCACCGTATATCTGCTCCTAACTAGCGCACAAAGCCGGAGGAACATCACCAAGCTCCGCGGCTTCGCTCCTGACACAGTTTAAACCCGAACGAACCCCCTTCGTCTCCATTGTGAGGAGCAGACCCCTCCTGACCTCATTATACAGACACCCCATCCCCCCAGCACTCCTCAACCACACATGAACACCAGCAGCAGCAGCAGCAGCAGCAGCAGCAGCACGTCCTCCTGCCATAGTTCCTCTGCATTATGTCACATGATGTAACCAGTGGTTCGCTTTTTTCAATCCTAATGCTGAGCGATTTCTGACTTGGATTTGTATTTCTGTTGTCAATTTCGGTAACTGTTTACGGCATTTCCCTTTTGTTTTCATAAACATACATGCTTGTGGCTATTTGAGGCAGCACACTAGGTTTGTTCCTTCACAAATCACAAGGGCCCTTCTGCTCAACCACCTCTGATTTCCTCGAAACTTATGAATCATGAAGTTTAGATATTTAAAAGTGCATCTGTGAAATTTTAAATGGATACATTAAGGACTTTCCGAGATAACATCATTTAAAAAATTGCTCATCGACCCACTTTCAGCACATTGTTTCGCAGGTTTTATATTTGAGGCTGTTTGAACCACAATATCTCAGGAACTATTAAAGATAAAAACCTGATATTTTCACAGGGATTTCTTGCTGTTTCATTTATTATAAAACTATGATACTGGACGAGTTGATCAAATAGTCTGTGAAAATCAGTGAGTTGAAATATGGAAACAATTGAAACAAACATAAATAGTTTCAGTTCACTCTGTTTCTCCAAATGGAGAATCTTAAATCTTAACTGATCAATCAGTTGCGAAAGTTCAGCAAAAATAACTTTTCTCATTTTTGTGACCAAATATTTCATATCAATAAGTACGTTTATGTCATATATGTTATTATATGCATGTTTTATGTTTCACACAGAAACATATGGTTCAGAAAACATCCCTAGTTGACTTTTGCAATTTCTTTGTTCATTTGTGCTCAAAGATCAGGCTTTTCATCACACTGAAATTGTTTTCTTATTTCATAATTCACCTATAATAGCAGATTTGGTCTGCCTTTCCAGTAATGAAGATTCATAAATGCCATTATGAGAAGTAACAGTGAACATTTCAGGCTTTTATCTTTAATAGTTCCTTTGATACTGTTATCTGAAAACTGCCTCAAATGTCATTGTGCGGAAAAAAAAAGTTATCTTAAAATTTATTTGATATGTCAAACTGAAATTTCTTTCTAAAATTTCTTGACAATGATCCAAGTTTATGTTAAACTCTGCTATAATTCCTGGTTAATCAGAGATGGTTGACCATAAATTGGCCTTAAAATGTGATGATTTGAAATGGAGTGACTCGATAAGATTCGGTTTAACTATCACTATGCAACATGTGATTGTATAACAAAATACAGATGTATTCACTTCATGCTGCTCACAAAAACAAACAAATTACATAAAGAATAATTAATGTGTCCTCGAAGCTTTAGTGCTAAAGCAACTGGACTTTCTAAAAGAGAAGTTGCTCCTGAAGCTACTTGGATAACAGTGACCTGGTTAACTGAGGATCAACACAGAAACCTATAATCCAATAATCAAGTGATAAAACTATGCAACTTTTTTGTGGTGAAGTGTGGAGAATGAAATCAGAAAGCTCACAGTCTGAGGACACAAACTGCTTTGAAGTCTGGTGGTATAACAGCAGATACTTCTTACCACATGGCAGCAGGCTGTAGTTCGGTCTATGGGCACCGATAACGCTCTGGGTATTTTCTGGATGCCTCCACTGCTCAGGATGCTGTAAAAGTTCACAAGGACTTTGTTCAGAACTTTAACTTAAGAATCCACTTTCTAACTTTGTACACGTGTTTATATGGATTTTTTGTTGGATGTCAGAAGACACACAATGAGCAAAATAGGCAGTCATGACTGAGTATTTCCACCTTAAAGCTGCAGCGTACTGATGACGACCTCAAAAACACAGATTTAGACCTCCAGAGTTTCATATGTCACAAACCTAAAGAACCAAGCCTATCAACTTCCAGAGTGGGACTTCCTGTATGGTCTGCTGAATCGGTTTCCAGGTTTAACATGTGCGGCTGAATTACTTCGATGTTACAGCTTTGTGTATTGTAGAGTAGATTTACAGAGTTGTAGGTGAGCTGGTGTGCTCAGGTTGCAGCAAGTGGCAGCAAGAAGGGTGTAAACAGAGGCAGAGACTTCGTAGAGCTGTACGTTCTGGAAAAAGCAACGATGTAGAGTAACATCGAAGCCATTTTTAGACAGATAGGGGTTACTTTCATGGAAAAATATGTAACTTTGATAAACAGAGGTGAGTTTTTAGAGGTTCAATCAACACCCGGAAGGGGAGTTTAGGCAGCACAGTTGTTTCTGAGTTTTCTTTTCCAGGGTGGAGATGTGTAATGACCACGACAGCTTCTCTGTGATATAAATCCTCCTGGAACCTGAAACCGTTCACATGATCCACCTCGGCTCCTCTGATGTAAGCAGGGTTAAACATTTCGGGGAAAATACATAATTGTGATTTTTCTTCCAGATATTCAGATTTGATCTGCACCAGACTTTTTAATGGCTGTGAACTAAAACTCAGTGTTCATTGTGTAATAGATTTAAAACATGTGATGGAGCTTTACCACATGAGACGCCATCGCAGGCGTCACAAGGAGGAAGCCGTGGAGGCAGCGCTGCATTATGTACATCCTGAATCACAGCAAATGATTCTGATGATGACATGTATTAAGTGTTCATCCCGAATGTAGACAGGAGTGTGTCTAAAATCAACAGTCACCTTCTTGGTTCAGCTGACTGACAAGTTGATGTTCACTATGAGTCCAGAAGATTGCTGACTGGTAGAAAAAACTGAAAGCTGATTCGAGTCTTGTTAGTTTTGTAGGTATTATAGCAAAATGCTGGTAAACTTAAATCCTGAGAAGGACACAAGTGTCTGCGCTAACGTTAACGATCCACCCATCAAGTACTTTAAAAAATATTTCATATAAATGTCGTTGTGGTGCTACAGGAAAACTCAGAGAATCAGTCGGATTCATTCTTGTGTCTCCATGAATGGCTGCACAAAATTCCCTGTAGTCCAGCAGTTATTGAGATATTTCAGGTGTTTCATGTTTTACTGACAATGTAGTTTGATCTCTCTTTTTTTTAACAGTTACTTTACAGATTCTCCCTGTTTTGTTAAATTACACGTAACTGCTTGTAAATTCACCAGAACTAAGTAATAATTTACATGTTAAACATAAAAAATAGATCATAACTGTAAAAAAAAAAAAAAAAAAAGTGAACATCAAAAATCTGTATTTAGTTTGTTCTTTTATAGCATTTGACTGTAAAATTATACGAAATACACTGAAAATCCACCAAAAAGAAGTCATAATTTGCATGTTAATTGTAAAAAAAAAAAAAAGCAGGCCAAAACTGTAAATATTGCCCACGTCTAAAAGCTGTACTTTTATAAATGACCAGAAAATTACACTTTTACTGTATTTAACATTTGCAAGAAATTTTGTTGTGTTACAGATATTGAAAATTTCTAAAAGAAAAATTATGTTAAAAAAACCCCCCCAAAAAACCTGACATGTAGATTGAAAAAAAATAAATAAATAAAAGCAGGCCAAAAATATAAATGTCTACTCAACAATCTGCATTTTATTAAATAGAATTACATAAAATACATACACCTAGTCAGTTTTACTGTAGTCAGACCAGCTTAAAATACCAGTTATTTACAGATAATTGCTGTTATTTTCACTGTTGTTACAGTTATCGAACGTTTCAGTATACCATCATTTTTTTCTGGCACCCTAGCTGCCAAATTTTCATAACTTTTTTATAGATACTTTCTTTTTCTTTATATATTTATATATCATGAGGAACCAACCTGCTAGTATAGCAAAAAAAATAAAAATAATGTCACGATTTGCTGTTTTATATGAATGTGAATCAGATAATTTACACATTTCAACAACAAAGCCAGCATTCTTAAGATTTGACCTTGGGCGCAGATAAACTTATTACTGTCTGTTTATGTTTTCTCAACTGATAAAGTATTCAGTCAACTGAAGCAGCAGCGAACAGACATTCTTGGTTCTTGTGGCGAGCAAGAATTGAGCTCACATTCATGAGCCGTCCGAGCTGGAAACATTAGCCACGTAGAGCTCTGCTACCTTTGAGTCTTTTTATAGGTTTGTGTCCCATGATCTCCTGTTCATGTTTTGGGGAGGGTGGGGTTGTCGGTGTTGGATGATGGGGGGGTTGGTAGCTGTAACTCTACACCGATGACACTGTATGACTGACTCATGCTACATTCTGACTTATTTAGCCGGGCGACAGGCTGCATGTGAGTCGGCCGAACGGAACATGATGTTGGTGTTTTCCTGCAGGCGGTGAGATTTCTGTGAAACCCAAAGAGCACGTTGAGTTTTGTGGGACACAAGGATCCTGATGTAATGATGCCGCAGGGGTGTTTCAATGTATGGTTAGCCGAGGCCGGCCTATGAATGGAATGGACACCGGCGAGTGGATCAGGTTGTTTGCAAGCGTGTGAAGCAGCTGAGCAGTGGAGGCACCAGAACTTTTGAGCATCTGATCCCGTTGGTTTCATCCGGCGATGATGAATGACCAGTCGTCTTCTCGTAACCAAGAGATCAACCAGGCTCCCGCTGGAAGGAGATCAAGGGTCAATGTGAAGAAATCGGTATGGACATACGAGAGAAAGTGAGATGTTATGGAGTGGCAAAAGAAGAAGTGCAACAAACAGTCTCCTTGTTGGTTGCTTTTCCTCCACTGACTTTGAGAACAACAGAGTTACTGAGGTGTTGAATGCTGATAGCAGCTCTGTATTTATGGGCTTTACAATGATGTGGTTTGGATGTTTTCTTGTGCATGTGGAAGTGAGGCTGTTTTTCAGCTCTGAGTGGTTTTCTTGACGCCTTCCTCTGTACAGCTGTTGTGGGGCAGGTGTGCGAAGCAGCTGTGTTGTGCTCTCACGTTGTAGTGAAGATTGCTGGTTTAGCAGAAAATGTCTCCAAAAGGTCAACTGCCAAAAAGGCGATTTTTTTTCCCACCACAGTTTGACGGGCAAAACGCTGCTTTTCTTATTCACCACTCTGTAATGTGTTTTTTTTTTTTCAAGACCCCGAGTTCGTGGGCTGAGGAGACCCGAGGGAGGAGAAGTGTTGGCGGACACAAGCGCTCGGCATCTTGGGGCAGTGCAGAACACCTGAGGGAGGCGAGTACTACATAGCACATCATTAATCAGTTCTTTACTCTGGCAACCGCCCATTGATAGCATGAAACATTAACAACCCCCGAGGGCAAAGCCAGTAACCTTCCTGCTTCACAATGAATCATTTTGCTCTCCACTCTGCCCTCAGGTGGCCAAGCTGAGGCACCAGTTGCAGAAACGCTCCCGTCACGTCCCTCCTGCGGCAGGATGCGAGCAGCCCCACCACCCCCTGCCGGCAGGTCACGCAGCCGGCATCACTCAGGTAACCCGCTGCTCCTTTTTTTCCTCTCAGGATGTACAAGTTAAAGACAGCTTTTCCCAACTGCTGCCAACTGTCTCCTACAGGCAGATCAGGACCAACTTAGCAACAGGGGTATAAAAAAAAACACTGATTCTTTTCTTAGGACGGGCTGTCATCAAGCCTCCTGTGTTACTGCCACGATCTCTCAGAAGGACAATCTGAAACCAGCATGTCATACTGTACAATCCAAACACACACAATGTAGAACCAGACACCAAAGCACAATTTTGCACATTTTGCAGCTTCTAAATATGCGCGTATTTGACCTGTTTTTCCTCAGACGATGCCCCTGATGCCTCTGAACAGACTCGTCCCGCGGCTGCGACGGAGCGTTGAAGGTCTCAACCTGGAGCTGGAGGAGGTGTTTGTGTCGGAGAAACAAGATGATCAGCTTGAGGTTAGCTCGCTGGGCTCTGCTTAAAACTGAAGAGGCTAGAGGATTAATAACCTCTTAACGACAACCAGTATGAAACTATTAAAGTGTAACTTCCTTTTTCCTGAAGGTCCCATATCATACCCATTTTTAACAAGTTATTCTTGAGGTATATTGAACACAGTAGACGGACATAGCACAGGATATCTGGAGAATGTAGACTTCCCACTGTGTTTGGGCTCCATTGATAGGAAAACATGTAGCCTACGAATCAAAGCAACTCCAAAGTCCAGCAGCAACTGCTTCAATTAAGTTTTCAGTTACGCTTGTTTTAAACATTTGTTTTCCTGGCACTTGCGCAGTTATCATGTTTTTATTGTGGCCAATCACATGTACCCTTGCGAATGTGGAAAACATAAAGTGCCATTAAGTACGTTAGGGCTTAGATTGTCAAATTGTGAAGTGCATGATAGCTCTGATACAGACTTTTTCACACTATTAAGCCCTCTTTCTGAGTCTGCATATCAGACTTGACTGAGGAACTTGCCTGTCGCTCATAGCAACATTACTGATGTATAAATGTGGCTGCCCTTGCCAATACAAAATGAACACTCACCAAGCATGGATGGCGTGAGGAAGAAATCCATGTATGTGATATATTATGCTTACACTAAAAGAAGACTGGAGAGGCCATTTTCTCTCAATATTCATGACAAAGTCATGACTGTTTGAATGACTGCCACCTGCCAAAACTCCCCTCTGTTACCAGCCGAGCAAGTGAAGCATCATAGCTTCAGTACTTGCACAATTTAACTTTTAAAACTTTACAAATTTTTCGAATATCATAGAATTAGATGTATGTAGCCTGAGGTTTAAAAGGTGAAGCCAACACAGAAGTGACTTAAACCTATGTTCTTTTTAGCAGCCAGCAGGGGGCGACTGCTGATTGGTTAAAAAAATGTGATTGTATAGAAGCCGATAAGAAAATCGCCTTACTTCTCATCTGATTTATTACCTCATTCAACACTTTCCTAATAAGTTTATGGTTTCTGTCACTAGTTTGACATCCTCTCGAATACAGCAGGATGTGAATTTAGTAAATTATACTTCCATTTTGAAGAAAATCGACAATATAGCAGGATATGTTTTTGGATGTTGCCACCCTGTGATTGACAAGTCGCTACTGTATTGTACTGCATGCATAGTTTTCACTCCTCACTCGCTGCATCCAATCAAGATGTCAATGTCCAAGTTCTAAACTCTAGACTTCAAATGACAGTCCACAAACTAGTGGGTTTGTTTTGTTTGCAGCTTTTGCTTGATATCTAACCAACTGGGGAGAAATAGTTGGCAGTGTAATAGAATAAGTACTGTTGGATCTCATGATGAAAATCTTTGCATGTTGAGCTCCTTGTCATGAAACAGTTTTATTATAAACACATCAAAGTAACATTTAATCAAACAATTTGTGTCTACATCTGTTTTTTTTGTTTGTTTGTTTTTTTTAAATAGTAAAACCTTTCCCTTGTTTCCTCCTGAATGCTCCAGATTCTGGATATCCCAGACGGCCACAGAGCTCCTGTACCTGCCCAGAGATGCAGCAGTGGCTCCCAGAGCGAGCCCTCACCGGGGCCCCTGGATCCTTCCCTGCTCTCTCCATCTCAGTCCCCTTGTCCTCTCGACCCATCGCTTCTGTCGCCTTCAAGTTCCCCTTTACCGCTGAATCCATCACTTTTATCTCCATCCCAGTCACCCTGTGCCATGGGGGAGCCAGGTTCGACAGCTTTTTGTGGAGCTCTCTTAAACTGAAATATCTTTTTCGTAGTCAAACATTTATTAAAGTTCTGGTATTGTTACTAAAAGTTTTAATTTTTCTCTTTCTATGCAGACCCTGTGGACTGTGAGACCTTGTGTACCTCTTCATCAACTCTGCTTCCTTCATTCGCACTGGATCCTCCTCTGCTGCAGACCTGCTCGTCTTCACCTCGTCCCAGCAAAACCTACTCATTTCAGCGTGAGCCGCCTGAGGGCTGTGAGCGGGTTCGAGTGTGTGAGGAGGCGATGTAAGTACCAGTTCATAGTTTCTATGTTGACTTAAATGTCATGCATGCGTCATACCGTGTAGGCATTCTGAGTCACTATGATCTGATCATAAACCCACACAATATGAGGAAAATCTGTGGTGTGCCAATACATTGTTTTATTTTCCAAGGACAATATGACTTGTGATAAACAAACATATTGACATGTATCAGCTATACAGTTCCTACGTCTTTTTGGTACAAGAAAACAAGATGTCATACAGCTCCACATTAAGATCAGACAAACTGTCACACAATTCTTAAAGTGGTAACGTGCAGCATACATTGGTAGAGGATCACTATTAATTTGAGAATATATCATTTTCATTACTTTGTAAATGCTACACATGGGTCTAACTAAATCAACTCCACATGCCTCATTTACAATTTTGCCAAAAATAAACCGTTTGATTTAAGTAGACTTAAGTAGAAAAAACAAAACAACTACATTTCTGTGCTCCTCAACACAGCCATAAAAGCCATTCATGATCAGCAGTGACCAAGAGATTTTGATACTTCTCAGCTGAACTGCAGGCTGTGTTTACACCGTGCAGATCATATTCAGAGTCAAAATCACCATCAAAATGTCATTAATTGTGCAGCCGTACAACTGATGTCAGGTTTCTTTTATGCAAGCAAATCTCTCTTTTCAGTGTCTCTCTTCTGTACCTCCCGTATTTGGCTGTGTACACATGGAGCCTGCATGTCAACAAACCCTGTGTCTTGTGAATAAAGCTTTTCAAAAACTCATTGCATCTAAGAACCCTAAAATCAGAGGAAATTCTGTTCTATCAGACAGACTTCTCTTGTATGTAAGTCATGGGAAATGAGATTGGGCAATTTCCTTTTTGTATCATGCCACAAAAAGTTGGCTTACTTTACATTGCGGGTCACAATAGTCAATGCTGGAGAAATACGTTGGGCAGGGCTTCTCTCAATCTTTCTTTTCGTCATGTGATGTTTTTTTTCATAATATTCTGACTTTTCAGTGTAACTATTGAGGAAGCCTGTGTTGCCGTTTTGATGTTATAAATGTGCAAAACTATATACTGTGACTTTTGGGTCTCGTGATTATGCAGTATCCGTGGTTTCATTTCTTCCTATCGGTTTTTCTCCAGGTCTGCTTGTCAGGATGAAACTCTTCTCCAGCCTTCCTGTCCTGACCCCAATAAAGTCAACTTTACCCCTCATGGAGGCTCAGCTTTCTGCCCCGTCAGTCTCCTGAAGCCCCTGCTGCCGTCCATGGACCTCCTGTTCCGTGGCCTCTCAGTGTCTCCGGTCACTGGCTGCTCAGGTCAGGCCTCTCCCACCAGGCACCTGGGGATGCAGTAGGTGGGTCTCAGGACTAAACTACGTTTCACTGCCAGGACCTGCAGAAACTGGGCGTGTTTTACAGGAAGTGTGACGACTAATTGCTGAGCTCATTACTGCTGCAACGCGCCATCATCACTGTGATCACAACAATGGACTTTGTGACTTTAAGAACTGAATAACTGTGGCCTAAAACCTGGTTTGTTACTTTCTTCTACTCAGAGGAGGCCTTTGATTCTGCTGATATTTTCCTCATCAGCACCTAATTTGCCCCAGTATTCCCCCACGTGAGGCATGGATTATTAAACTGCAGGACTTCAGTGGGAAAATGCTGAAAAAGAAAGGGTTCTTTTTGATAAAACTGTTCTAGGTATGTATCAGCTGTTCAGACAAAAACAGCAGTCTGTCAGGGATGTTTTCATTTTTAGTAAATTCAGTCAAAAAGCAAAGCACTTAGAACACATGTTGACACAAGTATTACTTCCTTACTATCCCTAACTGTTGGTTAATTTGCTAGTAGAGCATTGCTAAGTTTAGATACTCAATTTGAGAGGCTTAATGGGTTTGTTCCTTTAAATTTGCTAAAAATCTGTTGATTGAAAAGAAATATTTTTGGCCTGTAGTTTCCAATGGCCTCCTTTTTCTACAGATGTGTTTCTATGTAGGAAGATCTATATTTTTGTATCTTTGTAAGGAGTAAAGGAGCTGAAATGTCTTTCTGTCTTTCAGGAATGGACTTTTTTTAGTAGCTTTACATGCCTGCAGCAGGCGTTGTTACAACCAAACTGTTTTGGACTGGGTCCCTCAATCTGAGCCTTATTTTGGACCCTGCGGTTCTGATCACAGAGTGTCACCGAAGAGGTTGATTTTAGTTTGTTTGAGTTCCTATTCAAATGCATAAAGCACAGTCTTTGTTAGCATGTTCCAATGCAACACTGATTTAAGAAAAACATCACCTACATGAAAACAATTGAGCGAAGAATATGTGATATTTGTCAGCTCTGCTTTTTCACACTTGATTATTTCACCGTCTTCTTATTTTTAGGGTGATAACAGTTAAAAAGATTTAGTATGCTGTTGTGAAATAAATAAAATAACCATGTTTTGCTGGGCGTACACATGCCTTCCACGGTAATTATCATTCCTGTGGTTTTCTTGTTGTTGTGTCTGCCCTGGACACGTGGATTTGTTGTATTTAAATCAAAGCATCGCCTCTTTCCCCAGCTCTGCTTTCTGGTTGGTTGCTGTGGCTCTACATTGCCTTACATGGACCAATCAAATTATTCCACATCCCAGGACGTCAAAAACACACGCCACATTTTGCAGGAAGGACCTCAGGTTTTTTCAAATAGTTGTCTTTCCATTTGCCAGCCCAGAAATCCATAAATTTTAACCTGATAATAGCAGTACAATAATGTATAAGTAAAATGACTATTAAAGACGACGCAAGTCATAAATCTTTAAAAAACAAAACAACAAAAAACAAATATCCATTTATCAACTACATCATTATATTTTCAAGGGCTTTTTAATGCAGAATCAAAGTGTCAGACAAAAAAGATAAAGCATAATAAAACAAACAAAAAAGCAATAGGTCTGGGTCAGTTTATTATTGTTTATATTACTATTAGAATTGCTATTGTTATTACTTTCCACCCCTTTTATCCCCCTTTAAAGACACCCATAGCCATTTATTAAAGATATTCTTACTTTTGTATAATAAATAAATAATTGCACAATAACAAAAATATGCCATTTTTATTCTTCTCACTTTTATCAAAAGAAAAGAAAAATTCGGAGCAATTTTTAAAATTATTCTTACTTTTGTAAAAACAATCAAACAAATGAAAAAATATTTGATATTTTAGCAGTTATTTTTTAGTATTCCTCTATTTAAAAAAAAAATAAAATAAAAAAGTGTACTTTGGTTTGTTTTTATATTCTTACTTTGGAAAAAAAAAAAAGAAGTTTAGATTTAGAGCTATTTCTTTTCCATCTTACTTTTGTGAAAATAGTAATCTGGGGTTTTAAAATTAGTGTTACTTTTGAAAAGGCAAAGGAAAAAAATGAAGGAAAATACACAAAGAAAAGAAAATATTTGAGGTGATAGCCAACCAGGCCAACCAAGATGATTCCAAAAATTTAAATTCACTCATCTAGTACTTTTTTTTTTTTTTTAACTTGATTGACGAGAGAAAAGTTGTGTGTGGTTTTTTTCTGTTTGTTTGTTTGTTTGTTTTTTTGTTTTTGTTTGTTTTTGTCAGGATTTATAGCATTCCGGTAAATGTAAAGCTTCAGGCTTGGCCGCGGACACCTCTGGGGTCCTCGTAGGAACCCAGTTTACCTGACGCGGCGTCTTTTCCCTGTAAATGCAGGTTTTAATTTCTTAATGAAAACACCCTCAGCTCTCACCAGACGGGTCACATTTACTGCCTCACAGCTGGAAACGGGATGTGTTTGACTCGGCACCTGTCCCGGAGGTGATATTTGTCATTTGGACTGTACAAAATAAACAATGATGACATGATATTTGCCTTCCTGTGCGGCTCCGGACAATTCAAGGCTCCGTTAGCAGGCTTCGGTGAAAAACAGACACTACCGGAGATTTGGAGATAAATCCGCAGCTGCTGCACATCCTCAGCTAACGGGAAAAACGCGAGCGCCATCTTCGGGCTCGTCACGTCGGCTATAGTGGAGCGAGACGTCGGTGCGAGAGGCGCCGGGAGCGGAGCGGTGTCGGTTAACATAGCCGGGCTGCTGGACGACGGTATGGCTGCGGGGAAAGCAGTCGGGAAACCCGCCTCGTTGTGGGACAATATGCGGTTACGGTTCATCGTTTGCTTCTTCGGAGTCTTCGTGTGTTACTTTTATTACGGAATATTACAAGAGACGATGTAAGTGACAGCTAGCTGTTCGGTAAACTGTTCTTCTGTCCTGTACCAAAGTCCATTCAAAAATCTGCTTGTTTAAACTGAACATGCTAATTTAATGTTCACGAAGCAGCTGTACCAAACCTAATTTAAAAATTTGACCATTTAAAGTTAGCTGTCTGTTTGACAGTTAACCAAACAGAAAAAATGCCTGTAGCAAAATCTATTCAGAAATACACCAATTTAAACTTGACCAGATAGTCTAATGTTCACGAAGCAGATTGGTAAACGCTCATACAAATGCCTGGACCAAACTCCTTTCAAAAAGCTGCCACTTTAAGCGTTGTATGCTCTTCGACAGTTTACGAAGCAGCTACGTGTGATTTCGGTTTAGCTATACGTTGTGCACCACAGAGACAAACTGTGCGTTATGTAATTTCACGTGAAGTTTACACCATTGCTGCTACCAGTGCAGCTATGACTTTATCTTCGTTAAAACGTCAGACTTTTGAATGGACTCTGGTATTTGACTTTGTCCTCTTGCTGGAGGACCTTCGTAAATTTGACAGAAACAAGGAGGAATTTATAAAAGCATTGACATGACAGTTTAAACCCTGGCTCAAATGCACTACGCAACATATATCCTTAATTGTAAGCTTTGTAATTTGTTAATTGCATTGTTTTAATGTGAGATTTTCATGTTCAGCCAAGTTCATATGAGGAAATCCAAATTATTGAGCCTAATTATATGAAGCAGGTCTTCTCTTTTTCTTACACTGTTGTGTTATTATCACCCCTGCATTGGTTATGTGTCTACAACAAACATGATATTTTGTTACATGTAACTAACAGACTAGAAAGCCATAATTGCTGTCTGTAGTTCTCTAGAAAGAGTGAGTAAAAGGAGCTCTGCCTCTGTTGCATGTCACACTGAGTCTTGACACACATGGTATGTCAGTCACTAAAGGGGACAGGGATCATATCTGGTTTCAAAATGATGACTGGTGTCTGGTGAAGAAGCCTGAACTTCAATTGCATATTGTATTAAATGATATGGATGTCACAGTTTCATAAGTTGCAACCGGACACCAAAAGGAAAGGAGGGAAGGAAGGAAGACAGGAAGGAAGACAGCTGCTAAAAAATGTCTTGGTCACACTCATCATTCCACCACTCTGTCACCCAGTTGTAATTTAATGCATTCAGGACTCATGAGTGTCTTTTCATGACTTGTAGCCTCATGAATGCGCTCTGCTCTGTAACCTTTCTACCCGTGCTCCAGCCAAGAAGGTCCAGTTTCACAATCATTGTCTGTCGCATTCAACACTCTGCTGTGTCTCTGACTTTTTCAGCACTCGAGGTGATTATGGTCAAGAGAAGTTCAGATTCGCTCGGACGTTGGTCCTCATCCAGTGCATCGTTAGTGCTTTGTTTGCTAAGATCTGTGAGTATGTCCTGTGTAGAAGACAAAGGCTAAAATACCACAACACCTCAGGAAAGCCATGACTGAGTCTTTAGTAGTTTAACTTCTAAGCCTAATTATATAAATTATATAAAAATCTTTGTGATGTGTTTTTAAAGAAAAAAAAAATCCTTTTTATAATCAGTGATCCAGTTTTTTGAGGGCTCCAAACCAGATCACACCAAGAGCTGGCTCTATGGCCTGTGTTCCCTGTCCTATCTTGGAGCCATGGTGTCCAGTAACTCTGCTCTTCAGTATGTCAACTACCCCACACAGGTGAGTCTACCCCTTAAAATAAGCTCAAGTGAGTTTTCTAAGAAAAAACTTCTGATGGTGCACACTGATCCTAATGCTGTGTTTTTGTTCTAATAGGTGTTGGGGAAGTCCTGCAAGCCCATACCAGGTAAATCTAATAACACCGCTTCTATTGACCCTCTGTTTTCTGCCTGCGTATCACACCCATATCATGATATTACAAAAGAAGTAATATTATCACTGTGACTGTGTAGTAGTAATGAGGTATTAAGTCGACTCGTTGTTGCACACTTATGATGTTATTAAAGTATGGAAATGTATATTTTTGGCAGCTTCAGTCAATGATCTCATCTCCAGGGCTGAGAGAGAATGTTACAAGTGTTCTAACACATCCAATTATCCCAATTTTCTTTGCAAATGGACTTCACTTCAACAAATTTCACTACACCAAATAGTTAATCAAGTCATCTGGTGAAAGTACCTGTATTTTTTCATATTGCATATATTGCAGGAAAACAACATATCACAGTGTTAGATTTTAAAATGTCGAGCAACAACACTTATGTATTTTCTAAATCCTCTCCTGCTCATTGCAGCCAGTAAGTACCAATAATCAGCTTAGGAGCAGTAGCTTTGTGATCAACATTCTATCATTTTTTCACTGCCTACCTGTATTTCAGAGGGCAATATGAATACACAACTGTGCTCTCTCATCATTGACGAACTCAGGAAGTGCTCTCTGTCATAATACAGCATTTGTATCTTTCTAAGGAAGCTTTTCTAGCATGTACAGTTGAGAACATATGTGGCAGGCTACAGTATGTTCTGTTTGTACATGAAGGTCATGTCTCGCCCCTCACAGCCCAGTTATCTCTCGTTGCACGTATTCCATATGTTTGGCTCTCAGGGTCGAGGGCCTGACGCTGCACTCAATGTGATGTCTCCAGGTGAAAACCATTCATCGTGTTGTTGTTTATTGCAGTGATGATCCTTGGCGTGACGATACTGAGGAAGAAGTATCCACTGGCGAAGTACCTGTGTGTGCTGCTGATTGTGAGCGGTGTCGCTTTGTTCCTCTACAAACCCAATAAGAGCTCAACTGTTGCAGATGATCATGTTTTTGGCTTTGGGGAGATTCTGCTGGTGAGTTAAGGCATATCCCATTTATTGTCATGTTGCCTACGTATCTGCCTCCTGCAGTCACAATTACCGTGACACTTCCGTGACACTCATGTCTGGGGGTGATGTGTTTTACCGTGTCGTAGTTGGTCTCTCTGACATTGGACGGTTTGACTGGCGTGGCCCAGGACCACATGAGGGCTCGTTTCCAGACGGGTGCCAACCACATGATGCTGAACATCAACATGTGGTCCACTCTGGTGCTGGGGCTCGGTGAGTCTGTGGCGCATGTTGCCAAACTCACATCTAACAGTATATCTGCCAGCAGCGTGGAGGGTTCGGTTCCATTCAAAGCCACATCAGGCTGTTTCACTGATTTGCTCACCTGCAGCCAGGAAGGAGACACTAATGAGCAGAATCACCTTGATTTG